ATGTGCGACAAAGGGTGTAAAAATAAAGTAAATAAAGTGGGATGTGGGTGGAGATCAATAACATGTAATAGCACGTAACAAAGTCTGCGCTCGTCACGCGCGCAATGTAAAATCAGGCAAAAACAAAACAAAAAAAACAATAAATCGATTCTCCTTCAAAATGCGAAAACAAAAAAAAACCAAGAATGAAATATGGAGCGAGTTTTCCGGGGTCGCCTGCCACGGCAATAAAGCCAGAAATCACGCTGGGAGCATGCAAATCCCAAAAAGATTTCCACACGCCCCCCGAACTGCCGTGGAAAATTTCATTTTGGCCCCGAGCAGAGACAAACAAAAGCCAAAAATGTGCACACAGCTCGACAAAGGAAACAAGTTAACTAAGACGAGGAAAAAAAATCCGGTGGAGGAAACTGGGTGTGGGCAGCGATAAATTCATATAAATCGCGTTAATTTAACCGCAAGCGCAGTTTAAATAACTCAAATGGCTGGAAAAGCTGTTTCCCTGCTTTTCCGACTGGACCCGCACCTAAGCTTGATAAAATGTCGCCGCAAAGCTCAAGACAAATAACATCTACCCCCCCATTTTAGTCCAACGAAAGGTTGCCAGGACTGCGGAAAAACGATTGGAATCTAGAGAAATTACGTTCTGAAATGTTTGCCACAATTTGTTTTGCTTTATAATGAGTTGTTTTGTATGCAAGGACAGACTTTCGCCCGCCTGAGCTTTCAATGAATGGATGGAAATGTGGGTGGCTATCAGCAGCCATGAGGCCACTCAAAAGTTATCCGCTCCGTCTCTCACGTTTTTGCCTCAATAATCCGGCCAAGTGTTGGCTAGCGATTTTAATTGTTTGCAATTATTTCACCCATTAATTGCATTTAATTGCGCCACCTATAAATACTTGCTAATGCTAGGCGATCAGTAATAGATTTGTAATACTTTCAAATGTTCACACCTTCTCGATAAGTCGCCTGTACATTATTAATTCGATAATAACATCTAATGAACCTTACTAAAATTAGAGTTTTGGAAAAATGTGTGTGTAATTTAAAGGTTAATTTTCTAAAAAAGTATAAAAACAAAATGTAAATTATATATTATTTAATAATATAAAAAATTATTGTTTTTAAAGCAAATATTTAAAAAGAAAGATAGCATATAAATAAAACTGTGTTCTGTTTGACTTTTAAATGAAAATGAAAACAATGCAATTTGGAAAGATCGCCAAAACTAACTACAAAAATGAAAACATTTTTTTGAAGTTAATTTAGATAAAATTTTAATTGGCTTATAGACTAAAACTTATTTTATATAAAAAATATAGTTTTAATGACACAATTTGAAGGGTTTTTACATCACCCTATAAAAATTAATTCACTACTGTTGGTCTTTATCTTTAGAGTAAAATCAAAAGTTTTAAATAAAATGTATTCAAGGATATTTGTAGAGCACGTCATTGAATCAGGACTTGGTCTGTTATTTTTGGTGGGCAAACTTGCAGTCGAGGCCGAGAGTCACGACTTGCCCTTTACTTTCCCTCGATGGCTCATTTGAAGCTGCGCAAGCGAAGGGATTATTGTGTCCTTGCCCATTTAAGTTTGCCTTTAAAACTTTTTCTTCGTTTGCTGCTGAAAAAGCTGAATAAAAACTTTCCTAAGGCTTCGCTGGCTCCCACTTTTTCTCTCTGGCTGCCATTCTCAATTCTCTTTTAAAGGTGCGACCCAACAACCCTTGGAAAAATTGGGGACAAAAAATAAATAAAGAAATACCCTTGACGACATAAACGTTAATTGTTGTTGGTCATGACATAAGAGCCACCATGAAAATGGCCAACAAAGCCAAATGACATTGCTACCAAAATACAATTTTCGTTATGCATAAAATGGGTTGAAAGGGGGAAAACTGGAGGCAGGACTCTGCTAATGAACTAGCAAGGATATGCGGCGAATTGAACGTCAACTGAAGTCAGGCCGAGCGTAAAGGATTGGGCCACGTTTTCGCAGAAGGCCTAATCAAAGCGACAGCTGAAATCCGCAAAAGCACACACACTCAGAACCACGCACACACTGCCAAGAAAACCCACACTCTCCAAAGACCACCATACATACATGCGAGAACAAGGTCAAATCGTAGAAGTTCCACCCGAAATATTTACGGGTGAACGATTACCTCTTTTCGTTTGCCCAAAAAATCGCACTCAACTCGAGTTTTAAATCCAATCAAGGGAAAATAACTTTCACTTTACTGAACTGAAAAATGAAAAATCTGGCTACGCTTAAAGTATTTCTGAAATGAATATTTAAACTTAAGTTGGAGCTTTAAGCATTTACTGCCCAAAGATATTTTTTTAAGGAAAGTTTCATGTGCCTTGTATTTTCTTTCGAATTCCGACCGATTTTAATTTTGCAATATTTTTTTTCAATCCTTTTTTCATTATTTTCCTTTCAATTGACTTACATACAAACAAGTTTATGTACCTCATTTTTAATTTGTCTTGAAAGTTGTTTAGTTTAATTAAAATTAATTAAACTAAATATATATTTATTTTATGTCATTAAACTACGTTTATTTCTTTGTGAACTTTGTAAAATATATGTTACATATAAAGAAGTTACCTAATCAAATGAAATGCCAACTAATATAGAAAACCACAGTTAAAAAAATAATGAATATCATTCTAAAACCGAGAAAAAACGGACCAAGTCAAGCAAAAAACGAAACAAAACCGAATCAACGACATAAGTAAACAAATGAATACGTAATGGAAACCTTACATGAAAACCCATTAATCTTGGCTCTGACGCAGGTGAAAAGCGGGTGAAAAGCAGGTGAGGTCGGGGATCAGGGGCTATGAGGAAGATTAGCCCTGTTGTTGTGCAATGGCCAATCAAAATTCGACTAGGAACACATGAGATGATGGCCTCAGTTTCCTTTTAGTCCCTTTTCACCTGTGGATCTACCCACACAATATAAAACACGATTTTATAGAGGAATTCAGTGAGTCACAGCAATGTTGTATAACATCAGCGATGAATGACATACCTATTTATATTTTCTACTTTAGAGGTTGTCATCCAATTTATATAAATCTAATTAAAGTAAAGGTCGGTGTTTCATTTTATATTAAATGAGAAACCCTTATTAATCATCAATGATTTTAATACCTTGAAACATGTTTAAGTCCAGGTAAACATCGAAAGGCAATGCTTTAATATTTTTTAATCCTTTTATAATTGAGAAAAACTGAACACGAGCCGAATGAGCGACACTTGGAACAATTTAATATATGTACGTACAATAATTCCTCTTTTCCAACATTGTGATAATAAAAGTAAACACTTTAAGATTAAAATTATGGATAATTAAATAAATAAATTTATTGAATCTGAGAAAAATCCACAGCTATCTATTATATATTTCACGGATCATAAATATCTAGTTCTGATTTTTCCCTCAATTTTAACTCCCCGCCCGAATCATTTGTATTATTTTGTAATAAGGCCACCTTTCTCACCCTGTGACGGTTTTCCACCTCCTCAAATTATTTGCTTTTGTCTTTTAAACGTCGGAGGACAAGCACAACTGACAAAACACTCCCATGTTGATGGGTGGAGCGAATGAAATTTAAAACCGAGACGCCTTTTTAATGCATGTGTACTGTGTGCACGTCTTCCTTAGTGGAATTAAATTAATGACAAACAATTTCTCATTGTCTTTTCGCTGGTGCGTACTTAGCACGCGCCGGAAATGTATCCATATCCGCTTGAAATTTTTCCATTGTTTTTCTGCTGCACACAGAAAGCCGTTTAAACAGGAATAAATAGGTCCTTATGCACTTAGAAAATTTTATTCGAAAAACATATAATTCACTCTTTAAACATAAATTAATAATCAATTCATTTTATTTTTATTTATTTTGCGACAAAAAATTATTCGTTTAATTAAATGAAAAGAAATAATTTTAAGAATTACAATTACTTTATAAAAAAAAATATTTTCCTGCTTTTTAAGTACATTTTTGTTTAAAAAAATATCAAAGATGTTATTTTATAAATTTAAATTTAAGCATATAAAAAATATCTTGAATCACTTTTTTTAACCTTTTTTCTCAAATTTGACTTATTTTTAGCAGTGTTAAAGCCGTACAAAAGGGTGTAATGTAGGAGCAAGGCCTGGGCCCAAAAACAAATCGCCCTTAAGTGGAGGCAGTGAAGCTTCGCTAGCTGCGCACTGCCAACTGTCGAAGGACCGCCATTAGGCCCACTACTCGGCCAGAAACTGAAATCGCACATTAACAGTCGTAAAACTTATGGCCGAGGCCATTGCCAACTATTAGCCATAATTGGCAGCTGTTTTCTATTCTATTTAATTTCCTACAGTCACACGTAGTACCTACTGCTGAACTTTAATTTGAGAAACAGTTCAAATTAGTACATAAACAAACAGTTTGGTTTTGCAAGCAAATTTGGCCAAAATGGAGTTAGCATTTTGTAGACCCTTATTATTGATTCCAGTCCTTTTTTGATTGATTATATTTTCCAAATATTTCTCCAAAACCTTTTGCCAAGTTATGGACTTTAAACTAAGTATATTTCTTATCAGCGTCACTAAGCAGTCGATAAACACAACCTTAAAGTGTGAAGCATTGTACTTAAATAGTCTGGCACTAAAAGGATTCTATAAAAAGTGTATAAAATGCTATAATAACCCGTACATTTGATATCCCTAAAGAACAGCTGTGTTTTTTCCCTCGCCGATTACATGTGCTTCAATAAGGAAAACCAGTTGAAAGCAATTTCACTTTTACTATTTAACGAAGTATACCCAAAACAAATGTCGGCCAACCCCAGCCACATTTTCATTTATTTCGGCGAACCAATGATAAATGCGAATTTCTTTCTTCGCTTTCGTTTGCATTGAACTGGAAACATTTTGACAGGCGAACGAATGTATAAATTACCGGTAAAATACACTTTAGAGAAAGCCAAAGCCAACTCACCTGGCCATGATGTGTCCTTGAAAGCTTTCCCCTTCAATGTGAATTTGTTTGTCCTTCGTTGCGGTCGCAATTTCAGCTGAAATCAACATGCAGGATGATGATGATGAGGGTGCTCCCGCTCCTGTTCCTGCTCCTGTTCCTGCTCCTGTTCCTGCTCCTTATTCTGGTACCGACTTTGTCCCAATATCCAGATGAACAGCAGCCACTTAGATCGTTTGTCTCTGTCTGGCGAGTTTGTTCCCCTCTTTTTCCCAGCCTCGGATGGTTGATTGAGTTTGAGATTTATGCCTTAAGTGCTGCTGGGGGATTTGTTATCTTGTCCTTTTCGGCCTGGCCTATACGCATATCGTTTGTTTACCAGCTTTCTTTGCCGTGGCTCTGATTCCGCTGGAAATGGTAGAATAAAAACAGTTTTATAGTTGATGATGATGCAGATGATGATGACGATGATGCTTTGCGGTTTTCTTTTTGCTTTCAATTTACATAAGCAGCTGCATCATTAATATTGCAAATGTGTGAGTGTGGATACACGGATGAAAATACTGCGAAGATAATAAAATGAAAACCTCTTCTTAACTGAAATAATAGTTTAGAGAAGAAGTATGTCTTAAATGAAAAACTTATTAAAGTTACTCAATACGAAATTAACTAAAAACTAAACCCAAATATAACACTTTTTAGTAGAGCACAATGCAAGGATTATAATTAAATATACTTTCTAAAAAAAAATTGTATATTACATTTAAATCACTTCAGCCAGAAATATATTATGCTTTTTGTAATAAATAAATACAGATATTTATGAGAGTGTTTTACAGTGTTGCTTTTCTTGAAAGACTTCCATTTTTATCCGTGCCTGTATTTGTTTGCGTTTTGTGTTCGCTTTGAGCACTTCTGTAATTTCATTTCCATGCTTAACAAATTTAGCTTTCTGCAGACATTTATCATACGCCCTGTGTGCCATGCGTTCTTCACACCATAAATCACTCTCATCTCCCCGACCCCTTCTCCCATTTGGGGATAACCTTCACCAAACAAAATGACCAAATGCAATTATAATTCGCCATTCAAACAACTTTTAATGCCAACTGACAGCTGCCCAGAGTCGCCCATCGATATCCAAAGATGCGATTTAGTTACTTTGTTTTATGTATTAGACGAATTTCATGGGTTGTGGGATGATTGATTGCTTGAGCCGATCGGATTGTTCAGCAAGTGGGGGATAGCCATTTCCCTGATTGTTCAGACTGAGAGAGTTTTTACCATACAACCAATAAAATTGGGCAGGTTTTTCATTCAAAATTTCATGTATTGAATTTTGGTAAAATATTTTGATAATTTGGTTTTACTTCGAAATTAAATAAATAAGAATTTCAAATGAAGTGTCATTGACAAAAACTGTACTGTTATTAATTTAGCTGATTATTAAATTAAAAAAAGAATAATGATTTAATATTCAAAAGAATGATTTTAGTTTAAGACTTTTAGGTGAAAAGAGTTTGACGAAAGCTTACAAATTTCAATTTAATTTGATGTTTCAAAAACCTTGCTGTCAACCGAGTTCAAGGCAAATCAATGTTACAACACTCTGGAACCAGAGCTGGCCTAACATCACCAAGAGATGTACCACATGAAGCCTAAAAAACACGCCCATTACCAGAACTCTTTTATGGCCGCCCCGCCTCCTTTTTGTGTCCCTAGAGAATGTTCTCGATAAAGGGGCGGTGGGAGGGGGCGTGTATTATCAGCTGTTTCCCATTATGACTTCGGCGGAAATACACAAGCAAGTGGGAAACAGTCGAGGGTAAGCGGAAGCAAAAAAAGGCCGCCAATGGCAATGCAAACAGAGAAACACACTAAGGCTCAAGCACAACATTCGCTTACACACGCAAACCGATAAAAATAAAAACAAAAACCATGGAACGAGAGGCAAAAATTGGAACTAAATGCGTATACGTAATGTGATAGAACCCAGCCCACCACCCTCCCCATTTCCGCCCACCAAAAGGGAACTACGGAGTGATAAAGCAGGGAAAAAACAATGGCGACGTTGACGACGACGTTGGCACTTCTCAAACAAGCCAAAAATAAAGGGCAAGTGTGGGCCGAAGCTTTAAATACCCCTTTCTGGGTTACTTGTCTACGAAATATATTGTAACTGGTTAAACCAAACATTGCTAGATATTTGTAAAAAGGGGTTAACTTACGTTTGAAAATAAACACTAGTTTAGTTTCAACTCGAATTACTTAGTATATTAAACCTGGATTAATCTGAAAATACAAATTTAATGCACATATTGCCTTCTCTTCTTATGTCACAATTTATTGAAAATACTGCGAATAATTAATACATTATTAAAAAACTCTTATTTTGGATAACCCAATCAATATGCCTTGAGTGAATTGATATTTAGTGGTTGTGTTAATATCAAATATTCAGTACAAATCACTTTATTCTGTGCAGATTTTAGTAATGACGGGTATAAAATGCACAAATTTGTAAAGTTTAATTTCATCTGTTAAAACAGGCATTGGATTCCCTAGCACCAAAAGGTCCTTCTTTAATAACAATAATTCAGAAGCGACTGAAAAATTTTATTTAATTTCAGTAAGTACAATATGAAAGCTTTTATTTTCTTCTCAAAATAAAAATACTCACGATGAGGGTATAGAAAGCAGAACCAAATGGAAAAACAATTTTTCGTGAAAAGGCCATTGTGGAAATCGAAAGCCAAGAAAAGCGAAAAACCAAAATACTATATCCACTCACACACACAGAGCTACTTAAGCCCGGACACATCGCACACACTCACATTCACACGAGGGGAACCCCCTGGTCGCTGCCTGGAAACACGGGGGAAAGAGACGGGCAGATAGAGCGACAGGGACAGAGAGAAACAAACAGTGGGACAGAGCTTGTCACTGTATTTGGCTCGATTTCAATGCACTGCCGACTCGGGCATATTAGTATGCAAAACTGATAATCAATAGGCGACGACTCAATGCCCGACGCTCAGTGGAGATTATGGCGCAATTTGCATACGGACGTGTGCCAGTCGAAGATGTCGCCATCCCTCTCCCGAATGCCCTGCTTAAATTGCCCTGCTTAAATTGCCCTGCTAATTCCCCCAACAAAGGACAAACTGCATTCAATTGAGTCCGGCCATCGCGATTGCCCCACTCATCCGCTAACTGGCAACACTACTAATGTTTAATGTGTGAAACGCGATTTTTTGCCCCTAATTGAAGGGACACTAGAAAGCTTTTAGTCTAACTGGCCCCGCAGACATGGAATGATAGATGAAAGTTTCGAATGCAGCGGAAAGTGGCTAACAACCTTAAAGGGAATTTTTATAAATCTCTTTATCTCAAAAACTCATTGAATCCATTTAATGTAACGGAAACAGTAATGTTACCAATGTAACAGTAGTCCTCTAAGAAATAGTTGAACAAAAAAGGAAGATTAAAAAAAAAACAACTAAAATAGTGGAAAAATTTTATCATTTCACAAACTGCCAAAAAAATGTAACCTTCCTTTTCTAGAATTTCATTTAATTTGCTTTGTGTCAACTTAATATTCAATACTCAGAAGCTAAGCTTGTTTTCTCAGAACACTTTAAAAAAAAATGCAATTTATGTATCAACATCTGCAGAAGCCTTATTCTCTATTGCTTTCTTAATATTTATGAAATGTTTGTAAGCATATAACATAAATATGAAATGCTTTCCGCTTTTGCTACCTTACGACGTTTTTCGTGAAATTTTTCAATAACTCTCTTGGGGTTTTATGGCCGCAATTTGCAATTTATCATCAATTTGATGTGCAAAGGGCCGAACATAAAAGTCGTCCAAATGGTGAATGTAACAAAGGGCAATAAAAGCGGCTATGGCTGATGCTGGGGACCATACTATCCCAGAACCATATCCATAAGCGTTAAGCTTGATTTTCTATTGATTTCTGGTCAGAAGCTTGCATCGTTCACCTGAAATTCTGAGTCAAATGCACCTGCTGCTCTGCACAATGAAAAATAGGTACATAATACTTCCTAAGTTCAAATATGTATAAGTCTTTTAAGCAGAATGACAAATCTATAATTAAAATTAAATAATTCGTCTAACAATAAATCAATTTAAATGTTAATTTCATTATCGACAAGGATGATTTGCTTTTCGTTTTTATTAGACAGGTATCAAAAACTGATTTAAGAAAGCAGTAGGTACAACACAATAATAATAAATAATGGTTTTATTTTTTCCGAAATATGACAGTTTTTAAAAACTTAAATTAATTGATTCAGATAATAATATTTATTTTTATTGCAGGAACAGAAGTAATAGGATATTTCTATTTTCTCCGAGTGCTTGTGGGCTGTCTCTTCAGGGGAATAACAAAAACTATAGCATACTTATGATCCGCTTTGAGAGTTGCCATAAGACGCTTAATAACTGTGAGTAGTAGGCGAGGAAGGGGCGGGTCGGGAAGGGGCACGGCAAGGACATGGGCGGCGGATTGAGGGTCCTCCGTCCGATGTACGTGCCAATGGCCGTAGTCGCAGTAATAAACACACGCACAGCCCAGTTAACACAGAAATATGCCCCAAGTGTCAGGGCGGGCAAAACATGCGATGATGAGTGAGGACTGGGGAAAGCGGGGAAAGGCCAAAGGAAATGGGAAATGGATTTTCAGTGGCCTTTGCTTTTGTTGTTTTTGTTTGTTCCATTCTTGTTTTTTTCTTTTTTTTTTGTGTTTTATAATTACTCTGATAGAGCTGGGTTTTCTGTGTATGTGTGTTTCTGTGTTATGGTAAGCACACATAACGGTAATTTAATTAACATACATAAACACCAACACTCACAGAAAAAGAGAATGTGACACACAAAGGAAGGTAAGGGGAAGTTTTTCGAGGCACTTACAAATCGTTTCCACAAACTTTTTAACTTTTTATAATCGATATTTAATAGTGGATTTTATGCGCTTTAAATTTGGACATATATTTGTTCGGAAAGCACTTGATATTTTGAATTATTTGCAATAATTTTGATTCTTGATTTCATCAACAAGCAGCGCAAACGTATACTATTTATTTAATTGGGATATTTTGTATCTAATTTCACTATTTGTTTTTGGTGTGTGTTTACTGGTTGATTTTTGGCTTCGATTTATTTATTTTTGTGTTGTTTGCCGCCGGATGTTGCACGTTTTGCCATCACTTCCGCTTCCTGCGTAGCGAGCGATCCAACCGTCGAGAAACGCGTTCCGCAAGCGAATAAACAAAGGCAATTCCGCCGCATTTTTCTCGCACTTCCACGGCCAGTGTTGCCGTGCTGCAAGTCCTGCGCAGTGCAAAATCGAGAGACATTTTGAGAGTGAACGTGCGAAAAATCGCTCTCTACTTCCATTTCCGCTCTCTCTCTCTCTTTCAAAGTGCAACCTGCTGACGGAACATCTGTGTTTTTGTTATTATGCGAGAATCGGCAGCAACAGCAACAACTGCAGCCATTCAATTGCAATTGTGGTGACTGAACATACAGGTATTTTAATTATACTCACTCAAGTGTCGGGGTCACCGAAATAACTGCCGACTAATTGATGGCATACAAAGGGCTTACGGGATTATTCCGATTGGTAATAAAACTAATTTTACAAAGAAAATAAATCAAGTGGTTTTAATTTTGAATCATTGTAGTATGAAAGGAAATGTTGGGATGTCAATAAGTTTAATGTTTTTTTCAATAGAACTATTCCCAACTTTTTTAATTATCTTACCCTTAAGGTATATGTGTTTTTACTTACCCTCTTAACAACATTTAACAACAAATTAATATCACATAAAAACACACAAAAATTTAAAGACAATTAAGGAAACGAATTCCCCAGTTTTTGTCGTAAATATAAACTTACGGGTTGGATAGCATAAGTACAGTGCCTTTTTGCCGAACGATTTCCACACAACTGACGGGCCAAGTATCTGTGTGCGTTTCTCGTCGACGGCCGCCTAATGTCAAGGTTTTTTGGCTGCTGTTTAAAGTGCAGCAGGAAAAGCAGAAAAAGCTGAAACAGCCGAAAGAGCACGGCACGTGGCCAAGCCACGGAAAGGGAAGGACTCAAGGGGGGGGTCGATTATGCCATTACCAGGCCAATCCTGCACCTTGGCCCCTGGTGTACCCACCCCCCTTCCCTTCCGCTGGCTTTACCTCGCATGAATGAGCAAAAATGTCGCGACAATTCCGATTCGAAAGCCAATGTCAAGTGCACGAGGCAGCAAGGATATGGAGGCAGAAGCACTTTACATGCACCATGATACCCCACTGTCAAAACCCCCCTTGTAGCTACAGTGGAGCTTCTTTACCACACTCTTCTCTTCTTTACAATTTCGATTTCACTTATTTATGATACATTTTCAATCAAAAATTGTTGTAGAAGTATGAGTATGTATGATAATTGAGCTGTATGATAACAATTGTTTAGGTGGTAAGTTATGCTTGTTACACAATTTTTGGCTTAAGTAAATTTGGATTTAAACAAGTGATACTGTAGCGCCGCAGGTAGCACTGCGACGGTCGCTCTTGTGACCCCCAAATGTAATGGCACACTCACGTAAACGAGCGTCTATCTATATTTTATGTGCCATCGATTAAAGTCAATTTTCCTGTTTCCCACATAGCGAAAATGCCTCCTGACCTCAGGCACCAATTAGGCTAACTACACGCATAATATTTGCTCATATCAAACTTTGGGTTATTTTCAATAAGAAGATTAATTATGGAATATGCAGGTGAGCTTATCATACACAAGCGTTCTAATAAAATTAAAGCTCTTATGATTTTAAGGATCATTGGCAATTGGCAGACATTGACTAACAGTGAAAGGATTACTTAAGTAATTTTACACACGAAATTAAGTTAAATAAAATCATTGTTTTGCAATGACTAACTCAGCGAATTTTATAGTAAACAACAAATTGTAAAATAGATAAACATGATTAAAATCAGCATGTTAAGTCCAAAATCTGTGGCGTTTATAGTTTCAACATCTCAACATTTATATTGGGCAGTGTTAAATCGCTTCCTTGTAAAAAATGCAGGCTTTTGTAAAAATAAATATTCTAGAGGTTTCTATTGTATTGCGAGGTCTGCTTTGTGACCAAGTTATATTTGATATTTATGAAAATCAAAATAAATTCACTTCGCTTAGAGTAAGCGAAGTTATACAAAACAACAAAAACGTTTTCCATTCGATATTTATTCAGTATTATATTTTATTTCATGTAAGTTTTGAACTTAATTATTAGTGATAAGTGATAACCTAATATGAATAAAATACAATCGTTTTGTGGCTGTCTGACTTTCTGCTTTAAAGGATTGGCTGCTAGGCGTATTAAATTATAACTCCTTAGAATTCCCCCAAAAATCTTTGTAAAACTTAAAACTAAACTCATAATTCCTATTTTCGAGAAACAAAGTTCTAACGCGATCAACAAAAGCTTGAAATGCTGAGATAAATAAATTACATGTGGGTACCGAAGCTACTATCTAGTCCTAAGGAAGAGGCCATTGGCTAACACGGCAATCCGTTTACGACCAGGTCTTGGGTACACTGAACGGACCAAACCGCTGGTGGTTGTCCACACCCCGCACCGCAAAGTAATACCGCTGGTTCTCCTGGAACTGATTCAGCGTTACGGCCATGGGCAACAGCATGGCGTTGACATCGCCCACATGCCGCCAACTCTCCGTGCTGGGCTCGTGGATCGTCTCCTGGTACGCGTAGATCTGGTATGTTACACACTCCGCGAACCGCGGACCCGTGTCCTCCAGCGTCCAGGAGATAACGATGCCGGTGTCCAGCAAACTGATCCGTATTACGGGTCGCGACGGCGGCACTTTCCAGGAGGGATTGAAGGGCTGGGCAGGCGATGAGGGCAGTGGCGCCGGATGTGAGTATCTCAAACGCGAAGCAGCCGGCGGTGTATTCTCCGAACGTATCTGCATGGTTACGTTAGAGCCCAGTGAACTTCGTTGACCTGTTGGTTATGTTACGAATTTGTTAGTATACAATAGCAAGAACAATATGAGCGCTCGAACCCACCTCCGCTATTATTTTGAACTATCTGACGGGCATTAACGCGACCCAATTGCATCGGTGATGCTCGGACCACACTTCCGCCTCCACGACCTCCTCTTGTCCCAGCCGCCGCCTGGGCATTCCGCTTCACCGCCGCATTGGCCGCCTGTCGCAGACGAGCGTTCGCTTCGATTTGCGCCTGGGATGCCTGGGCAGCCTTTGCTGCCGCCGCAGCCGCCGCCGCCGCCGCCGCTGCATCATCCTCGTCCGTCAGGTCGATGACCGCCTTCTCCTTGGGCTTGGCCGGCGCCAAGCTGGGCTGCTGCTGCTGGCCATATGCACCGGATCCTGATCCCCCGCTGCCGCCGCCAGATGACATAGGCACCGAGACGGTGGCACCGGAAAGCGGTGCCTGCTTGGCGCGCACTGTCGTCGTGCACTTGGGTGTCTGTTTAGCGGGACTGGGACCTAGGCCGGAACCAGGACCAGGACGAGCTCTGCAATATATAAAGTTGTAAAGTTAGTAAAAAAAAAAACAAGACACTAAAAAATAAAGATTTTCTTTGATAAAGTTCCACACCCTAAGGCTTACAAAGTATTGTTTAAGCTTTAACAGCCCTTGAAAATAATTTCGGATATAGAGAATTTCTTATTTAATGTCCTCTTAATTTTTAAAACATTTTTTCCATTCCTTACACATTTTTTGCAATTTTCTTTTTCTTTCTTTCTTTTTTTCTCTGAGTACCTCTAAGCTTTGTATCAAGTTATTGTTATTGTATCAATGTATTAACATTTATTATAATGATTTTGAAAAAACTGGTTCAACGAATGAGTGAATGCTTATTAACTCAGCTGTTTATGGTGATCAAGAAACGCTACTTTTTCAAGAATGCAACCGTTCGAATTAAAAGCAATACCACAAAATACTTACGTTTGGTACTGTTGCTGCTGTTGTTGCTGCTTCTGCGTCACGTATGAGTTGCCTGAGTTCCGGTTCCTCATGGCGGCCACCTTGGCCGCCAAAGTGGCCGACGAGGCCGTCACGGAGGCAGTGGTTCCGGTGTGCTTCGATGCATGCATCGTTCTCTGGCCTGCCGGCGGTGAGGACTGCAAGCGGTGCACGTTGGTCTGATTGTTGACCGGCGGCACGGGTAGGACGTTAGCAGGACATGGTCGCTGGGGTGTCACCTTTTGCAGGCAACCCCGGCGCACGGGAGCCATAGGATTAGTCGACGATGCAGGAGTTTGAGCAACGTTGGCGGTGGACCGTGACTGCTGCGGCTGGGGACTAGGATTCGGAGTGGTACTGGAACTGGGGCCGGATGATGAGCCCGGTGGAAAAGCCGGACCTGGCACTGGTGGTCTGGTCCGCATTGGCGATCGCATCGGCGAGGTGCTGGCCTTAGGAGGCGTTCCACTGGGCGCCAACATACTGCCTGCAGAATGCGGCTGTTCCGGAACAGAGACCGTTGGCTTCATGGCCTTGAAGGGGATGCCCACCTGAAGGCCAACGGCACGCGTTATCCGGACCGGTGCCGTGAAGTGGGAGTTCTTGGTCTCCAGATCCTTGAGCACCCGCTTGTGCACAGTCTCCAGATCGAGGAACTGCTTGGACACCTCGGCGATCTTTCGTCGGTAGGTGGCCAGCGTGTTCTCGCATTTGTCCAGCTGCAAACGGATGTCCGCGAACTCACTTTTGACCAGCATTCCTTCGACGACCTTCTGCAGCACCAGCTCCTCCAGATCATCGCGGGTCATTGTGTCGAAGGTCCGGCGGAAGGTCTTAAAGAACTCCAGACGTAGCGGCTTAATATCCTTTTTGATTTCCGGTTCGGGCTTGAGCTCAAGGTTAAGTTCTTTTACGTCTTCAATTTTTGGGGAAGCCGCCTGTTCAACCTTTGCCTTGTCGTCTAGGCCGTCCAGATCAATTTGGAGCGTACCGTCGCAGGAGCTGTTCGAATCGGAGTCTTCAGTCTTAAGTTTCTTATTGGGTATCTCCTCTTCCCGATCCGGACTGTTGTCTAGGTGGTCGTGGCTCCGCTTGACAATTTCCTTCTCATCATCCTCCTCGATGGTGGTTTTTTGGGGTGCTTGTAGTTCCGTCTCCAGATCGGGATCCATCTTCTCATCGGTACTGAGACGCACTCGTTTCGATGCCGACTCCTCGACCTCTTCGGCGGGCCGCAACAGGTTGCTCGAATTGCTGTTCCCATCCTCCGTGGCAGTGGACTTCGCCTTGACGTGGGTCTTTAACTTCTCAAACTGATCGCACGCATTGTCGGAATTGTCCAATAGCAGGTCCTTGGCCTCAGCCGATTCCGCTGGCGAATCACTGGGAAGTCCTTTGGCAGTCGTTTCCTTCGCTGAACTCTGGAGAAGGTCCTTTTCCAGTTTCTTTGCTTGCGGTTCTTCATCCTCATCCTCTGACACAAGAACAATTTCGTCTTCTTTAGCTTCAGGTTTCTCGGACATTTTACTACCTTCCTGTAAGGAAGCGTCAGCCTTATTGGTCTTATCTATAGGCTCAAAGAAAATGACTTCGTCATCGGACTCCGACTCCTTGGCTTCCTTCTCAACAGTAGGTACCTCCTTATCCAAGTCCTCGCCATTGTCAACTGTTGGCTTTTTGCAGACCCCATTAACCTTGGGCTCCTTATTTTTTGATATAGCCTTGGGTTCATCCTCATTCGCATTCTTTTCTGCCCTTTCGAGGATATCTTCGTCCACCTCCATAAGCAAATCACCAATAGTCGTTTCGTTCATTTGCTGGTTTGCTGATCGTTTCGTTTGCAACGCTACCTCCGTTTTGTTCGCTTTTTTGGGATCTTTTGCTTCCTCGTCTGCGATTACAGTAGGCTCCTTCGGCTCTTCTGTTGACTGGACCTTGTCCCGATCTTCTCTTCCCTTGTCCTCTTGGGTCTCTTTCGATAGCTTGGCCTTTTTCGGCTCCACTGTATCCTCAATCTCTTCCAGTTCTTCCGATTCCTTGACCTCTTCCAGCTCTTCTGTATCTTTGACCTCTTCGAGAACTTCTGTATCTTTAACCTCTTCAAGCTTTTCCGTCTCCGCAACCTCTTCGGGCTCTTTTGCTTCCTTGTCCTCTACGGTTTCTTCCGCTTCCTTGACCTCCACCGATTCTTCTTCGGGCTCTTCAACTAACAGTGACTCGTCGTCTGCGATTGGCATGGGCTCTGCAAATTCTTCAGTTACCTTTGACTCTTCGTCTTCTTCGGTCGTGAGCTCCGTGGGATTATCGGCTGATTGGGGCTCTTCCTTTCCGACTTCTGTTAACTTTTCTTCCTCTTCGTTAGCTTTAATAGGCTCATCGTCGGCCTTGTCTACGTGTTCATCTGAGATAGTCTCTTCTTCAGTCTCCTTTTCTTTTACTGCGTCTATGTCTTGAGTAACTTCTACAGTATCCTCTATTTTGGCTACTTCCTCCGCAGGCGTCTCGCAAACCACACACTCGTCCGACGAGTCCAAATCTATGATATCCGCTTTGGGTTTTCCTGATTCATCAGCGTTCTCAACTTTCTCGTGCTTAAGGATATCTTCATCATCGGAGGAAATCTCATCCAGATCGTTTGCAACTGGTTTATCAACGGCGTTAAGCTTGTTGCTTTGCTTGGGCTTCTTGCTGTCCTGAGAACTGAAGGCATCAAACTCATCGGAGCTGGAAATGCTGTCAAGAGCATCCATAAACACATCATCCGAGGAGCTGTTTACCTTAGCCCGGACTTTTTCATTGTTATCCACAGAATGTGTCTTGACCACATTTTTCTCTTGTAATTTTTTTTCCGCGTCTATTTCTTTTCCAATAGACTCCTCTGTCGCCTCGGCCAAATCTTCGGTTTCCTCCGTCGATCCTTCGGCTGTAGCGGGTTTTTCGATGTCTTCGATGTCTTTTCCTTTAGCTTTCTCTTTGGAATCCGGCTCAACGCGATCTTCGTTTTCTGCAGATTCCCGCACCTCTGCTTCACTTACTTTTCTATACTCGGCGTGCTTTTCCTCCGTCTCATCAGCTGTTTTCTCCTTCGTCGATTCAGAGTCGCATTCCTCGCTCTTATCGACTGTATCCACAATGGAGCTTATCTTGTCCAGCAAAGCGTCTAAATCGCTGCCCGCATTGCGCTCCTTCTCTTTGACGCTGTCGGAGGCACCGACACCATTGGTGAGCTCACACAGGTCATCTTCATCCCTGGACTTCCGACTCGATTTATTGACAATTGCTGTAATCCAGATGTCGATATACCCTAAATCATATTTATCCATTTGATTGAATTTAACTTACCAGGGGTGGAGAGTGGTTCACCATTACTGCCGAGGTCTGTGGATAGAGTACGCCTTAAAGGGCCTTCTGAGGACAGATCCTTCATTTCAACGTTCTGGCTTACTTCCATCATTCTGTACCTTTCTTTTTTTGTTTTTATATCAGCCTACTCCGAAATCATTGAACTGCTGAAAGAAAGTAAAACACCATTTAAGTATGCGACTATATAAGGGGCAACTCTGGCCACGACATAGCAACCCTGATAAAATCAATAACAGTGGCTCTCCCCTTGGAGATTTCAAAAAATTATCAGTCTGGGCCTAGGCTGACAATTCAAAGGAAAAACATAAAATAGAAGTGTATTCACCATGTTCTAATGAAAAATAAAAAATAATCAGAAATTACAGAGCTTATGAAAAAAGCTCTAAAAAAGCTTTGGCAATAGTTTTCTTTTCTCTAACAATTGGGAATTATACTTAATAAGCTTGTCTTGGGCGAATGAATTTTTTCAAATCGGACTCCGAACCAAATTCATGTGTGTAGGTTTGTGTAAGCCCCTATCGAATTCATTCAAGTCTATTCCTTAATCTAACGCCGAGATAAGCGTTCTAGGGGTTTAATACCCCGAGGTATTGATTATCATAAGATGTTAGATAGAAGTACGATCCGAAAACTCCGAAACCAGAAAAATAACTCAAGACCATCAGCTTTTTTGTTTCTTTTTTATGTTCGATTCGGTGTGTATCTACCTATAGTCTAACCATGTGTTGTTGTTGTTTTTGTTGGTTGTTCCAAGCGCTCGTCGCTTTCCGAACGCAACAATAACAACACAACGTCGCGACGACTGCACCGAAAAGGCAAAAGCAAAGCGATGATAAATAGTCGTGCAAAGGAAAGAAAAGCAAAACGAAAGATGCAAAAAGCGGGGAGGAGAAATTGACTTGTAACCTTAAACGCTATCAATGATATGATAGCATATAAAATTTTGCATTAACAAAAGTGAGGTTAGGTTTAGTGAAAAGGTTTGTCAGGCGTTTATATATATGTATATGTAATAGTAACAATGTTAAAGGTGACTTACAAGTTTGAACGTCCAGAAACCCAAGTATTCTAATTATTTCGATTAAACTACACTTGGAGAAATCAAAATGACTTGAACTTCTTACCGCGTTCCGAGCAAAAATGAACGAGACGAACGCCAAACCAGCTGACGACGAATAAAATGAGAGCGAGAGAGTAAACAGCTGAGAGCGGCAAAGCAAAAGGGGCGTAAGGGAAAGCAGGAGGGAGATAGCCGGCAGGAGGGCGTGACTCGGTTTGATAAGATTCGATAATGTAGCTCTAACCAGACGCCAAGGAAATCCCTTCAACATCTCGAACTTTAACCTTTGCCAAAAAGAAGGGCAAAGTAATACAAATTTGCATTTTTCCACAGCAAGTTGGCAGTTCTTTTTTTGGTAGATAAAAAGAAAATAATGAAAACAAAAAATGAAAGGGGGGTATGGTCTGAAAATTGAACATAGACAAAGCAGGGATCTTCGTAAATTTAATAAGAAAGTTTGATAGCAACGCAAAAAGTAAAATAATTGCGCAAATAGAACGCGTTTTGTTGTTCACTAGCGGGAGGGTAAGATGGGGACGTAGGCCATTGGAGCGGGACGACTATATGGCCGCCCATTAATGGCAACATAAAAAGGGGAGCATACATAAGTCAAGTAAAGACCATTAAAAACAATCCATATCTTTATCGAACTAAGACAACAATTAAAAACATAATTTAAGAGTTGCCATAATAAAATGAGGTAAAAGATTGAAAAAAATATTTTAAAAAAATATTCCTGGCCGAAAAAAAAACTTTTCAAAATTAAGGAACTTAGAACATAGGGTTCCCCCGTCTGGTCTTTCCGATGCTCTTAGGACCTTGGCAGGATACCGGTTTCGCATAGAGTTGCGGAGCGAGCGGGACGGACAGAGAGAGCGGCCGGAGAGCAATTGCGAGAGAGCAAGAGGCCGAACATATATACACGTGGCTATATAAATTGTCTGTATGTAAAAATTAAATAAAGTTCGCGTAGCGCCGAATACCACACGACAAAGATACAGCAGCAGGGAAAAAGCAACAGCTACTGTAGCAAGCAAACGAAAAATTTAGGCTTTCTTAGCTTTGTCTGCTGGTTGAAATTTAAACCTGGGGTACCCGCTCTATATGAAGAGTCGATCCTTCAAGACAGGGTTTGCATAATGCCTCAGCGGATTACAAATTTTTCCCTTTATAATACAGTTTTCAGATACCAAATACGCAGTTTTCTATCTGATGGTTCATTAAAACCTATCCACATGCACACAAATGCAAAATAAAGATACTATTACCTTTTATGTTTTTGCAACCAAATAAAAATAACTGGTATATTATTGTTTTGGCAATTTATTTAAGCCCGAGTTGGACGTTATGTCTATTATAGCTATCTCACTCGCTTACGCACTTTAGCACGCCCGCTCTAGCAACGGAGTATCTGTGTGGGTTTGTATGTATACCAGAATGTGTATGTGTGCGATTTTGCAACGCGTTCACATTCTTTTTAGGTTACGTATCGATTTTGATGCAGAGTGAGGTTAGGTCGAAAAACATCCATGATTTTGAAAATTTTACAAAACCAAGAACATTTTCGAAATCCCCTCAGCGCCCTCTATTGATATCTTATATCAGATTTTCCATAGAGACGCAACCCCGAAAAAACTTAAACCAGCAACCTGGCAAGCAACAGCAAAAGCAAAACGTCGCAACGTTTTTATTCACCTATTGTACAATTTAATGTTTTCAGGGTTGCCAAGTTTGAATAATGCCTGCTTCATATCTTACATAAAGTGCATTATGTCTAAGTTAGTGCAACTAAAATGCCATTAAATGCATTATTGTGACCTTGCTGCCGAGTAGGGTTGCCACCCGCAGGTCGTAGGTTTTTTCGCGGCCATTACATTGCGGTCGATTATTACATGGGTCTTAAACTCTCTAGTCTATATTTCAGCACCGTCATCAATCCAGATATATATCCGATTTCATCTAACCTGTGTCAACCGCAACCATCTGACAACCCTAAAAACACAAATGCCTTGGAAGAGACTCGACCATATCTGACGTATGGTACCCAACCCAAATTAAAAAGCATTTGAAAACCCTTAAACTAAACCTAACTACCAAGTAAAACATTAATTTAGTTTAAGAAACGCCAAATATATTAGACAGTGTTTTGCATAGATAATAAAAAATTTAGACAATTTAAAGAAAAAAAATTTGCACGTACCTTCCTATGATCTGATAAACTCGTTTATTAACTGTTGAAGTCACGTAAAATATTGGAATATGACATTACCCAATTCACAACTCTCAATCGTCGATGATTTGAATCAATTTAACAGTTTTTTGGCAATTTGTTTACAATTTGAAGGCGAATCCGCTCGCTATGCCCTTAAACGATGAAGAATGAAACAGACTAAAATCAGACAACAACAAAAGGTGCCGAAAAGAACCAGTCCAGGCACAACTGGTTCCAAATAGTAGCGCCCAGATTGCAAACAAGCGGCATGCAGAATAGCGATGGGTTCGTTACCGCAATTTTAGATGAAAATACGGATCAGCCAAATCGATTTTTCAAAATATAAATGCCTCTAAAATTTTTTTGGTCAAAATGTGTATACCTGCGGCATTCAAGTTCCAACTATTAAAATTAATGTTTAATATTTAATCAAATAATAACCTGAAAAGTCAAGATGTGGTTATCAATTATGACACGAAAAATATGTGAATATAATCAGTATGCTAGAAAAAAATATATATATTGTATACTCGAAATATGTAAATGCAAATTTCACAAACGATAGGAAAGTGATTTCAAACTCTGATCAAACAAAATCTTTCAAGAAATATCTTTAATTTAATAAATTTTGGATAAACTATTAAAATCATTGTAAACGTGAGAAACGTGTCCATCTTTAGTTTTGAACCAGCAATAGAGCCAGGGATGCAAAAAAAAAACAAGTAGCTTATAATTGGAACTAAAATTCGATCGCATGTTACAATTTCATTGGTTAGAAGAAATTGTACCATGCAAATATGTTTGGGTACTATTTAAAAAAGGATTCGTACATATAAAAGTACGGTTTTATAAAAGAAAAGTATCTTTTATTTTGTTAAATGTTACAAAGTTTCGAACTAGTAAAAGGAATTAGCAAGTGCCATCCCTGAACGCAGCAGCGTAAAACAAATTCCGGTTCACGAACCATTGAACCAATGGCAAGTGGAACAAAATAAAAACATCTGTAGATTGTAGGTTAAATTGTTTTATAATAACAAATGCAGATAGTTTTCAATTAAGATGAGCAACCTGCTAAATTTTGCCTTACGTCATGGCGTCACTGCTATTAAGCGCCTTAGCCTGCCTAGTTTAAGACTGACAGTTCCGGCTATAGTTACCAAATCGCCGGTTAGTTCCACGATAAAGAGGTTCTCCTCCCAAACAGCCCCCTTCGATGTGAGCACCAGCGTGCCCAAGGACGTAATACTCTTTAAATATGAGAATCCGCGCTTCTACCAGATGCTGAACTTTTTCGGCGTCTGCCAGTTTGTTTTCTGGACATATCTGTCGCATTTTGCCTTTACCACGCTGAAGGATGCTCCGGTGGTGGAGAAACCAGGAGAGGATCTAAAGTGGTTCCAGCGCATAAATTTGGGCGATAATAAGTACAGAAATGGGATCACAGCTTGCAGCTTTCTGATAGGTGAGTGTTTGGGAGTTACACAGAAATGCATATAAGCCTTCTAATACGTTGCGAATGTTTAGGATATGGTATTCTGTTCGCTGTCTGGATGTTTACACTTCGTTCGGTGCGTTTTCTCATCTTGCGGAAGGGAGGTCAAAGTGTTTCCTTTGTGACCTATGGTCCTTTCAACCGCAATCGTATTATGACAGTGCCCCTGAAATGTGTTTCCGCCGAGGAATCACGGAATCTGGCCAGGGTGCAACTGCCCATTAAGGTCAAAGGCAAAACCCTCTACTATGTACTGGATATGCGTGGCGAGTTCCGGAATCCCCAATTGTTCGACTATACGGCGGGCTTGAAGCGCCGCATTTAAAAGCGTAGTTGTGTTATTTTGTAACTTATTATTTGTAAATAAAGATGTACACTAATTAAAATTAAACTCCGGATTAGTAGATGGGTTCGGGTTTTTGGGTGAGAAGCAGTCCGAAGCGCTTCTTGATGGTGATCCTCTGGCGGGAGTACTTATCCTCCGGCGAAAAGCGTGCTGGGTGAGCAGACAAAGTGGGAAGACCATTCTCGGTGCGTTTCTATAAAACCAACAAGTTAGCACCAAATCGGATAAAAGCAATTGAGTTTATGCTAATTTACCTTCAAGGTGTAGACGCGGTCGCCGTTCTCGTTAAGTGTGTACATCAGATACATTTTGGATGGTTTTCTTTTGTGTAAAAAGTCGTAGTAAATAAAAAAAAACACGTGTGGCGTGCGTTGCAGTGTGATACCGTTAGAGATGGGCTACTCACGATAGTCTTGGTATATCGAATATATGGGTTCAAGTTTCGATATCTAGGGAACTTAGTGTTTCCTCAAACCATGGAACAAAACTTTGATATAACCTATTTCTAATCGATTTTTTTTCATCACTAATCCGACTTGGCGGATTTTTGTGAGCCATGTCGAATATAGTTGACAAACTACACAAACAGGCCTTACGGGAGCAACAGAAGCGAATCAAACCGGGAGAATGCATGAAATATGTGCGGATGGTCATAGATGCCGGATTTCTGGGCATTCCCCTAGGCCAGGAGATGCTGCAGCAACTTAATTCCACGGATTTGAAGTACGAAATAAGGACACTGCCAGTGAGCTACTGCATCCTATGGGAACGTAATGTAGGACAGCGGACAATTGCTTTAGGAACCAGTCCCACTGGTCTGGATGAAACCTGGAAGCGTGAAAATCAAGTGGTCCAATGGCTATCCGAATACGATTTTCAAAAGGCCGTAAAGGATCAAAGTCTGGTTTGCCTGGGACCCAGACTACAGGCCTCATTTCCGGACTGCCAGTATACCGTAGCCCTAACTAAACTTCGTCATAGCAAACACGGCAGTTCTGCCGGCCAGGACGCTTTGATAGAGATGCAGCTGCTCCAGAAGCTCCATGTGGAGCAACTGAATCGTCCCGAAAGCCAAAATTTTTTGGCCTTTCTCCAGCGCTACACAAAAGCCATAGCCGAAGCTCCATATAAGAAGCAACGTAACGAAACACTTGGCAGTTTCAAAAAGTACTTGGCCAACGACAAGAAGCAGTGCGTCCGTGTGGATCAGGGCAATGGTTATGGCCGCCTATGGCAGCAGCATCTGAACCGACTGCCGCAGGTCACGCTCGAGGTGGCCGAATCGATTATAGCGCAGTATCCCTGTCCCAAGAAACTTTTAGATCACTTTTCCAGCGATCCCATGGCAGTGCAAAGCCTAGCCGACTTAAAGATCAAGCGTTGCAATGGACCACAACCTCTTCACGCCGAGCGACGTATCGGAAATGTTCTCAGTAACAAGCTGTATACGTTGTACAATGCTAAGGATCCAAATACTCTGATCTAAATATAGATAGTTATGTTAAGTTACAGTTAAGCCGTTTTCCTATCATATAATAAAAGCCCTTAAAAATATCTAGCTTTAGAATCTGCTCTTATATATTTGCGTCCTAAAGTATGTACAATTAGAATTAAACGGTAAGGTAAGAGCTAAATATTTTACATTATTCTTCTCATCGTACTAGGTATAATTTTAAAATCACAATGTTCCTATACACATAACTATGAATTCAATTAATTGTTGTTTGCACACCTGAAGAATTGATAATACGTCTGGTGGAAGGCCAGAACTCTGTGAACATTGGATTGGGCGAGAGATGAGAGAGACTTGGCCATGAAAACATCAGTCCGTACTCTATAGCGTGGCCAAAATGCGGGTGAAGCCGAGGCAGGCGGACACTATGGTCTGTCCGAGACCCCAGATCATGGCGTATATGGGCGACATGGGCAGGCTGGAGGCACGATGCACGAATGCGATGACCGCACTGCTGATAATTCCACTCGAAGCCGGCGACAGGAATCCCATGACCAGGATTAGGATCGAGAAGAAGCGCCCGAACTTGTGCTTCCGCAGTGTGACGAAGGCCACCAGGGCTGCGCAGGTGTGGATGAAAATGGAGGAGAACAGGGCCCACAGAAAGACATGGTACCACATTTCGCGAAAAGTATTGAGTCGAGCTTGCGACCGAAGTCCCATCACATCGGCGATGGTGTCCAGTTCATCGGTGTCGTAGCCCTCGTAAAACATGGCTAAAACTTTTCCCAAATGGAAGTATGCGTAGTTTTATTACTAGTTATTGCTTTTCCGTTGCTCAGAGTTGGTCAGTTGAGTTTCCAGCCGCATGTCTGTGGGATTGCTTCCGTATGGCATGTATCACCCGTGCTTCATGTATCTGAAACAACAGGCCCCATCAGATTTGACCTTTCGGTATTCATTTATACTCACGCCCACACGCGTATGCTATGAGCCACACCCACGTCGAGCCTACTTTATAGGCGGAATAAAGACTTAGTCCTTTCTAGTTCCTTAATCCGGTACAACATTGTTTAAAATGCCGTTTTCCGTTGTGTTTTAAGAATTGTTTGGTTTATTTTTATTTCGGGCAACAATCGATTGGACTTTTGCCACGGCACAAAGTTAGCCTTCGCTGGCGGCAGTGAATCCTTAATCTGGCTTATATATCAGGTTATTGGTCTTGAACAGCCATAACTGTTCAATTTGACCAAAACAAAGCACTTCTTGTTAATTAAATTAAATGTTTTAGTGTTTTTGTCTGCGATTTACTTTAGCAACGGGATTGGAACGATTCGGGAATGGACCAGTTCTGATAAGCAGTCAGCTGTGACTCATTTGAGAACTAGTTCGTTTGCTTTAATGGAAAGTTACGCATCAGCATTGAAAGAACGGTATACAAAATAAAATTTTTATCATAATTAAAAATTTTTCAGCCAATTAAGGCCCTACCTTCCATTTTAAAATTTATCAAACCTAGCTTACTTATCGTTATCGAGCCATCTTTATCGCCGAACCAGTTCCGTAAGAACCATCTTAGCACTAGTGACAACCCTGCAACCAATCCATAAACAAAAAAATTTTGTGTAAACCAAAAACAAAAGCGGAAGTTGAAAAGCAACTTTTTAGCATATAATTTGGCCTCTTATGATTTGTTAAGTTTCTGTTTTGGAGTATGGGATGCTGAGAGATCCTTGAACAGGTGTAAGTCGTCCTGCTGCTATGACACATTTCTTTCGAGGCGACCCCACACATGTACATACATATATAACTGCATCCAGATATATGTACACATATGTACCCGTGTATCTTACGCACTCTCGACTATATATGTGCTGATATATGTGTGCCCCGCCGATCCCACAATCGGTTAAAGTCAAAGCGTCCTATACCAGACATGTACATATGAAGTGTATTTTAAGCCAGCGTATGCTCGCGAACCGAGATTAATTAAGAGCCCCCATTGCAGACTTCGCATATTGTTCGAGCCCCACAAAACCAACGACGCATTTAATCAATGTTCTCCAACGGATTGCCGTGCAATCTGTCGTTTCCGAGCTGTCTCAGTGTTCCAAAAGACGAGATCGGTAATGAAGAGCTTCTGCCATCCAATATGGGGACTCGCGAGCCTGTTATACTCAATGTCTACGATATGGTGGGTATTCTAGTCAGTAGTACATTCCTATACCTACATATGCAATAATTTTGCACTTGCAGTACTGGATCAACGAGTACACCACCTCAATCGGCCTGGGCGTTTTCCACTCCGGCGTAGAAGCGTTCGGCACTGAATTCGCCTACGGCGGACACCCGTTTCCCTTTACGGGGGTCTTCGAGATCTCACCGCGGGATCACGACGAACTGGGCGATCAGTTCCAGTTCCGGCAGAGCATCCAAATCGGCTGCACCGACTTCACGTACGAGGAGGTGCGCCGGATCGTCGAGGAGCTGGGTAACCAGTTTCGGGGCGACCGATACCATCTCATGAACAACAACTGCAACCACTTCTCGGGCTCATTAACTCAGGTGAGATATATGTAGGTTTAGCCGTGCCGCTTACAGATCGGAAAACTTTCCATTGATGTTCCACATTTCGCTTGGGTTGCTCCTTAGAGATATGAAAACCAACTTTGGGGTGTGCTGACTAATGAATCACCAAATGACAGATACCGTAACTTACAACCGAAACATTTTGTCGTGATTCATAATCACAAACAAGAAATCAATAGTGTTCCAATATCTTATCCAATTGTTGTAATTTTTATTGAGGGCACGGTGTATGTCAAGTCTATTCCTTGTTAATTAAATTTACACCTCGTTAAAGTTGTATTAAAATGAGAACTTTGAGACCCTGTTAGCATATGCAAAACGTAGTGGTTCTTACTTGACTAACAAACTACTGTTTTATTTTTTTTATTTTAGATACTTTGCGGCCAAGAAATACCCAGCTGGGTCAATCGTTTAGCGCATTTCAGCTCCTGTGTGCCATTTCTACAAAGATGTTTGCCAAAGTAAGCCTCTAAAAATGCAATAAATTCAAGTGCATGATTATTAATTTGATTAATGTATGTTTAAATTCTCACCGGTTCTTAGAGAATGGCTGACACCAAACGCCTTGCAGCAGAGCATAACCACAATCCAAGAGCGCGAAGACTCGGACACCAGTCCCCTTTGAGACGTTACCTGACCGAAATTATGTCACTTGACGACACTCAAGCGATCATAGTTTACATCCAACTGCAGTCCTAAGACCAACATTGTTAAGTTACATAGCGCGCAATGCCGGGTTAACTCACGTCACATCCATTTTCAAGCCAACAACGCCCCCAAACAAAAAGCAACAACTATTATTAATAGACTTTAATTAGGCGATATACATACTTACATAGAACATACCTACATAGAAACATACTTATACACACATGCGAAGTGACTAAATTATTGGCTATTGTAATTTGTATTTGTAATACGACTATTCAGAGTTAAGATATTATTAAGTGGCCGGTAAATTTAAGTAACAGGCGCCGTTCAGCAGCAGTGTCATTTATAGAATTTTAAATTAATTACGAAGACATCGAGAAATCATCATTAGGCACTTGCTAAATTGTACTAACAATACCGCAGACATATTTGGTGAACGATATCAAAATGTTGCCCAATTTACTTGTTTACTTTTGTCAGCGATGGGAATTTGTTTTTTTTGAATTCCCACCAACCATCTGAGCTCGATTATTGAGATGATTTCCTGGTTGATTTCGTTTACACCATTATACAGAGTTCATAAGCCGCATGTCTATCAAAACACCAAAATGATCTGTTATCAATAAATATATGTACTTGACATTCTGATATTTACACATGCATAAATACTATTATTAAACATTTTTAAAGAAAAATATATTTTGATCGAAAACATTCGGTTGTGTTTTATTTAAAATTAATTAATAGCTTCTTTAGATAATGATAAAAAATCCTATGAGAATTTATAAATATTTAATATATGCAATTTTAATAAATTAGTGATTTAAAAATCAAAAGCCATTCCAAAAAAAACAAATAAATTCTAGTGGGTAATAACTTTGTATTGTATTTGTATATTTTAAAGTCCTCTAGATTAGATTAATCAATGGGAAATAAGTTAACTTTTGCTTTAGTTTAGAACTGGATTACCATTAAGATAAATATGTTAGGCTTAGCTATGTACAATGGGAACACATGGGGAATTAGCAAACTTAAACCAGACTCGAGACATTATTGTAAAGGCCAACGGCCGACACCTCGTCAAGATTGATATCGTTAGGTGGAAGATTGGGATGCGGCCAGTTTCGTGGTCTAGGATTTGGATGGGGCGGGACAATGGCCTGAAAGGTGGGCGACTGAAGGGGCCTATAGGTGACCGCACCCACATAGTCGCTTTGCCGCAGGGGAACATTTGGTTGGGGCATCCTCTCCACGTAAAGGTCTTCATTGCGATAGAAACTCGCATTTGGTACATAGCCGGAGTGGATCCTTCGCTGCATGCTTTGCGGGATCGGTGGCCGATGGGGCAGTTCATGAAAGTAGGCATCTTTGGGTATTTGTCTCTCGGGCAGACCGAACTGGGCAGTATTCCTGTGAGGGATACTGTAGGTGGGCGAGGGATTCGAAGAGGTGGCCTCTATGTGCTGGAAGTTGTTATTTAAACGGGAGTGTGATCTTGCCGCAATAACATTGGCTGTCTGGGAATCCTGTCGATTGGAATCTATGGTATTTTGCAGTTGAGCTACCATGTCCCGAACCTGCCCTGCATTTGGCTTTTTTAGGCACTTGATCTCACTGTTCCGGATCTCCACCTTGTTCATATTTTCATTGCCATTCTGCCGCACTTCCGTTTCCTCGGCATACTCCATGATGGGATTGGAGTAGAACAGATTCGACATGGCGGGGTAATTGTCCTCTAAGCACAGGGGCTGTCGCTTCATCAGATTGGAGATGCCAGCTGCCTCGCAGGTCTGCTCCTTGTAGAGCAACTTGTCGCCACCCATTCTCTCTGCACTTTCGTTTACAGCCGCCTCTTCTTTTCCGAGATCCGCAAAGGAGGCGTCTTTTCTCAGTGCCTTTATCACGGAGTTCAGCATATTCTCCCCTCTGCCAATGCGCTGATAGTACTTGTGGTAATCTGGCTGTGGATTACTGCCCGTGGGAGATGCCTCCCAGTCCCAGCTGTTGGAGTTCTGGGAGGGATTGGAGGTTTCACTGGAGTTCGGGTAGCGCCGCATTACATTGGTGTACTCATCAAAGTTGGGACTATTCACACTCTCTTTGTCTTCCCGAAGTTGGGCGGATTCGGCTCTGGGATGGGTTTTATAGGGTGGCGATAAGGAAGACAGCTGGTTCTTGCTCTCCTGTTCACTGTCCCTTTCCATGATCAAGGTGGTCTTCTCCAGAAGCACGCCCAATCTTTCGGACACTTTGAGGAAATCCAACTTAAGTTCATCCAGCTTTGAGTGCTCTAGTTGTGGTTCTTGATGCCCTGCTTCAACCTCCTCCTCAACCAGCTCCTCCTCCTCCCCTTCTTCCTCATCCTCCTCCTCCTCCCTAGCTGCATTGGAATCATCATCGCTATCGCTGTCCAGTTGAGCATCTGCTGATCGGTGTACTATAGCTTCCACTGCCTGATCTTCAAGTACATCCACACTCCTTGAATTGGTGAGCCTACCACCCCCGTGATTATTTTCCAAGAGCTCAAGACTTCGACACCGGGAGAGGGTTCTATCGATCCTCGAGTTCCTGTTCTGCTGATCGAAGGTGGATCGCATGGGTTCGCCTCTTCTCAAGAACTCACTGAGGTGCTGTCTCTTGCTCTCACATCTTAACCTGTCCTCGATCATCGTCCTTGTGAGTTGTTCAATTTGATCGTTGGTTTTGATGGCCAGTGCCTGAACTTTGTGACCCAACCGCTCCTTGGTCTTGTGGACGTACTTCTTCAAGCTCTTGCGATTGCAGTTCAATTTGTTTTCAATGTGCCGGAAAAAGGGACCGCAGTAGCAGGTATTACCCACGCTGACAGGACCCTTGTGGATATGGCCTGCCAAGTCCAGAAAGTACTGCTCGCCCGCTTTAAGCGGCTCCTTGGGTAGCGTCTCCAGTTTCGGTGATGGAAAGGCGCGTGGATCGGGAAAGTAATGACAGCCATAGGGTGACCAGTTGATACTCTTGTCCACCACGTCCCTTTCTCGATCTTTGTCCTTGTCCGATCTGCTGCCACCCTCCTTGGGTTTCTCCTTGCGGTTCCGTATCTTCTTCGGCGTGTTCAGGATCTCGATGATCTCGCGATAGTTCTTCCTGATTGCTATGTGCATGGGACAGTCGCCTTGGGCATTTTTAATGCCCAAACGAGCATCCGCCTCCAGGAGTATCCTCGTGAGCTTCCTGCGGCCCATAGCACAGGTGATATGCAAAGCGGTGTCACCGTTTAGGTTTGTTTTATTAGGATCGCAAAGGGCGGAAAGAAGGATGCGGGTGACTCCGGCATGTCCATATCTGCAGGCGGTGTGCAGCGGAGTATCGCCGTACTGGAAAAGGAGTTGGTTGATTATAGCTATAATTTACATTATCCGCCACTTACATTATTCTGGACGTCGGGATCGGCTCCGGCCAACAGTAGTTCCCTGGAGCTCTGATTGTGACCATTTTGGGCGGCTAAATGCAGAGCTGACAACCCCTCGTTGTTGGCTATGCTCAGTGCACTATTGTGTAGGGCTTCGATAGTCTGGTGGGCCACCCTCGCTCTGCCCTTGTTCTTATCCTTGTCCTTGTCCTTTTCTTTGTCCTTCTGCCCCTTTCCTGACTTTCCCACCCCCGAGGTAGTGGGTGGTGTTGGGGTTGTGCAGATCAGTTTCACGCAGCGGCTGAACCCCCGACTGGCGGCTTCGTGGAGTGGGGTGTTTCCTTGCTGAGATTCCCTGGCCAGGCGGTCCGCGTTGCTGAACAGGAGACCCTCCACCCGCCGATCATCCCCAGCCGCAACCGCCTCGTGTAACGAAGTCCAGTTACTGGAATCGGGCTAAAATGGGAGGCAGGGGTTAAGTAAATGTTAACTTGGTGGTTTTATGTGGATATTCTCACCCCGGAGATGGCATTTGGCAGAGCTTCCTGTTTCGGAATGCGGGAGGATCCATGCTGCATTGCTGTGTAAATATTGCCAAAAAAAATGATTAAAATATTTTTTTTTAATTACTAAAAAAAACGCGATTTATTTTTAGGAATATTTCAAATTAGTTTCTTAAAATTTTCTTTTTTTGTCAGCTTAGTTCCTGTCCAATATGAATATAACTTGTCAATAATAACGGGTCCAAAAGAATCTTAGAGAAAATGTCTTAAAACCAGTCAAATTCAAGACGAGACAACTCGTCTACACAGGAAAAAAATGTTTCGAAATGTGGGCTAATAATTATACTTTGAGTTTTAAGTAAATGTTTACGATACACGGTACTAATTAATTTCATTCCGTTCCTGTTAAATCATTAAGCAATTGCCCGAATGTTTTAAATATCTAGGTATATTTTACCATGTTTTCATAAAAAATTTCGTTTGATTATGTGTTTAATATTTAAAGTTTTTTGTTTATGTTTAAATTGGCAGAAGAGATACGTTAATGATGATATAAACTTGACCTAGGATCATATGAATATGATCTTTGATCTTATATTTTTTTGCCGTGTATGCGTGTGTCTGTGTGCCTCACGTAATGGCGTACCACGTAGTTATTGCAATTACAAACACAAGTGGGAGTTAACACAGCCGTTTTAACAAGACGTTTGAATTTTCAAAAACACCTTGTAAAGTTTTGATTAATATCTTTCCTCTCGTGAACATAAATAAACATATATGGTTTCTTGTATTTTTAGCACAATCACAGTAAATTCCTAGGCCTTAAACCCAGGTTTGAACTGCGCCTTGGATTCCTTTATTCCTAACTTACTTTTCAATAATTTCAATTTGCGATTTCGCGCCGTTATTTACACATTGTTATTTTTCACTTCGACGTAGTTACACATGCTTTTCTTAAAGCGTTTTCTTTATGCTCGATTTTGCACTATTTTGCCTACGTTTGGTGGAACGCCCAGAGTTAATTTGGCTTCAAGCCAGGCCTAAAAGAGACTAAAAGAAAGCCAATCACAGGTAAAATTGGCAACAGGTTTCGAACAGGGTTGCCGTACTACCAACAGCTATCGCTTTTTCCGATAGTCTGGCATTTTGGCTACACAGCAAGGCGGTCACACTTTGAGAGGGCCACCAATTTTGTTTGTCATCGGCATTTTGCATTCATATTTTCCAATCGTTTTAAAGAAGCTACCAAAATGGCACTGGCTGAAATCTGCAAGATATCCAATGCTCCGTACATGAAGCCCACTGCCTGGTCATCGACGGATGCGGAGGACGACCTGAGGGGACTAACCTGCAATCTGGCCAATCCCTACACACTGGCTGCTCCGCCATTCGAGAACGTGAGTTTTATTTAGTTTGAAATCCTGTGAGAATACTACTATATAAAATCTACTATTTCCAGCCCATGCACAACCTCAACCAGATCCAGGCAAATGCCGGCAAGACTGGCATCAAAATCGACTTTGACCACGGCACCACAACGCTGGGCTTCAAGTTTAAGGGCGGCGTTCTCCTGGCGGTGGATTCCCGTGCCACCGGTGGCCAGTACATTGGTTCACAGTCGATGAAGAAGATCGTGGAGATTAACCAGTTCATGCTGGGCACTTTGGCCGGCGGCGCCGCCGACTGTGTGTACTGGGATCGCGTTCTGTCTAAGGAGTGCCGTCTGCACGAGCTGCGCAACAAGGAACGCATCTCGGTGGCGGCGGCCAGCAAGATCATGGCTAACATTGCCCACGAGTACAAGGGCATGGGCTTGAGCATGGGCATGATGCTGGCTGGCTACGATAAGCGAGGTCCTGGTTTATACTACGTGGATTCGGAGGGATCCCGCACGCCCGGCAATCTGTTTTCTGTGGGCAGTGGCTCCCTGTTCGCCTACGGAGTGCTGGACTCTGGCTATCACTGGAATCTGAAGGACGATGAGGCCCAGGAGCTGGGACGTCGGGCCATCTATCATGCCACCTTCAGGGATGCCTACTCCGGCGGCATCATTCGCGTCTATCACATCAAGGAAGACGGCTGGGTCAACATCTCCAACACCGACTGCATGGAGCTGCACTACAAGTACCAGGCGCAGAAGGAGCAGCAGCAGGCGGCTCAGTAGATTCGATAGTAGGAGAATATAATATATTCAATCAAACGAAGTTTGTATTTCTTGGAATAAATAAACATGATAGAGTCCAGGCTTTTAGTTTGTTTTACTCCTAGGAAGACTGTTTTAAAGGTTCCCTTGACTGGAGCTGATAGTAAGAGAATATCTACTTGTATGCATATCGGAATAAATGATCTTTCTTGTGCGCTCTAGAGAATAATTGTTAATTACCTGCAGGGTTTTCGTTCTTAAATTGTATATGAGAATATGAAACACTTCGTAGACTGGTTTGTATTTCTTCAAATATATATTATTCTTCTTGGATATGATTACTAGGTTTCTTGATGGGACCTTTCCTTTTGCTGGGAAATCATCTGCAGGGTTTCCTTGTGCCGCATTTCCGCTCGTTTTTGCTTGAAAGTGCGCTTTCCCTTCTTGGTTTCCACGCGCTTTCTTCGCAGGACACCCCTCTCCATGGCCTGACGGAGCTCCTGCTCTGCATCCACGTGGGTGGGTATGTGTATCTGCCGGATCATTCGGTTGCGCACCATGAAGTTATCAAAAGGATGCTGGCCACCGTTGCGATCGAAGAAAACTACATGGGAAAGTTCGCAGGTCATGTGCCCGTCGGCTACATCGATAATTCCGGCCACGGAGGTCTCGTTGTGCAGATCAATGAGCACCGGCTGACCCTGCAGCATCACTGGCCAGCAGTTCAAAGTGTTGGACACCAAATACTTCTCCCGCGAACTGAACTGCTGCATTATTTCCAGAGATTTGAAATGTTTTGCAGGCAGAGCTGCCAACTCGCTCTTTATTTTTGTTAATTTTATTTTTACCCATCAGGGAAAACATCTGTTTCATTTATCGTCGATCCGAACAAAATGATTGAGATATTACTTTTGAATGTTAAGAATCTATGCAATATACATGTTTTTTCCTCTAAGTTGTTTTAAAGATGATATAAAAGAAAATGGTCTATTACTGGCTTCACATACATATGTATACCAAAAGTAAATGTACACAAAGTAGATTAGGTACTCTTCGAATTTTGACCTTAAAATTACTAAACGAAAGATTAAACTTAGATAGCTGTTCCGCGCTCCAAATTCTGTTTGATTTCCGCTGTGTGCTCGCTGTAGAATCGGTCCAGCTTCTTGTTGAACTTGGAGTTGCGCTCGTTGATGAAGTCCACGTCCGCGTCGTCGTTGTAAATTCGCCTGCGGGAGTACTTCTTGCGGCGCTCGATCTGTTGCTCCAGGTCCTGCACCATGTTGTTGATGGCACCAGGCGTGTCCTTCGTCCTCGAATGCAATGTGGTGTGGGCACCGCCATAGAAGGCATCGCCGAGCTCCTCCTTCTGCCTCTCGTATTTGGCCATGTCGCGGGCGGGCATGCTCTTGACCAATCTGTTGTACTGTCTGGCCGTCTGTGCTTCATAGGTGGAGAAACCAAGGTCCGGGTTGTCCTTACGCTTCTTCTTCTTCTCAATGCGTTCCGCATCCACCGCTGAGACCTCGAGGAGCTTGAGCCGTTCGTAGTCCTTGCCAGCCGCCTGCGCATCCGAGCGCGCTTTGTCGTCCGCCAGGATCCACTCCGCCTGGCGCTTTCGTGCCTCCCAGTTCTTTGGCAGCTTCTTGCGGGCGTCCTCCGCGACTACTTCCTGATGGTTGTCCGTCCGGGCCTCCTGCCGCTTCTTGTGCAGCTCCAGAAGACGCGCCTTGCGCTCAGCCAGCTTTTCCGCAGCCGTTTTGGTCGCTTCCATTGCTATTTGTTCGGGAAATTTGTTTTTTTTTTTATAAAATTTCGTGAATTTACGTTGTTTATCTTTCTTTGTTTTTTTCTAGCTCGCTTTATGGTTTTAAGCCGCGTTGGCAGCACCAGGGTAATCAGCTGTTCCCTAAAGTGGCAACTCTGTTACAGTAAAAATCAAGTAAAAGGCTTTGGTAATGCAAAACGTAAAAGTTAATTGCATATATTGCTTTCAAGATACGCTGTTTAAAATATTTAGCTTAGAAACTTTGATAAGGCATAAGTAAATTAATAAAGTACTAGGTAAATTTGAAATGTTATTTGTTATTCATTGAAGTTGCGACTTTCGTCACCAGTTTCTATTTATTGCTCTTATCAAGAATATACTGTGCGGTGGTATTTGAAAACGCGTTAGTGTTTTTATAACTTCATGTGCTGTTTACCTCAACACGTGCGGGAGTTTTTGTTTATATTTTTACTCGTGGTTTTCGCTTCAAACCAGCCGCAAAATGAAGTTTTCCTATAAAGTAAGTTTAAATTATGATCTATCTTCACAAAAAATTTAAATCTGGTGTTACAGTTTTCCAACCTGTTGGGCACAATATATCGCAATGGAAACTTGGTTTTCACGCCAGATGGAAATTCGGTTATCAGTCCGGTCGGCAACAGGATAACAGTCTACGATTTAAAAAAGTGAGTTATTTCCCATTACCAAAGGATTATATGTGTATAATTCACTACTCTGTAGCAACAAATCCCGAACCCTGTCCCTGGAGTCACGATATAACTACACGAACCTGGCTCTGTCGCCAGATGGAAGTCTGCTGATTGCGGTCAACGAAAATGGAGAGGCTCAGCTCATCAGCATGATGTCCTGTACAGTGATACATCGGCACAAGTTCCAAACGGGCGTCCAGTGCATCTGCTTCAGTCCCAACGGTGCATTTTTCGCCGTGGCGGTGCAGAACATAGTGCTCATATTCTGTGCTCCGGGTGAGATCACCGGAGAGTACAATCCGTTCGTGCTGAGGCGGAGGTTTCTGGGTGGCTTTGACGACGTCACCTGGCTGGACTGGTCCTCGGACTCTCGTTTCCTGGCCATCGGTTGTCGCGATAGCTCCACCAAAATTTGCGCCATTAACTACACGACGAATTTCCGCACCTACAATCTGAGTGGCCACACGGATGCCATTGTGGCCTGCTTCTTCGAGGCGAACAGTATGCATCTGAACACCATAAGTCGCAATGGTCAGCTGTGTTTGTGGGAGTGCAGCATGGCTCCTTCTGACTTGGAAGATGCGGAGAGGCCAGCCATCGCTCCTCCTCAGACAAAAAGGAATAAAAAGGCAGAATCCGACAATGAGTCCGAGGATGACGTTGAAAATGTGTTGGAAAAAGAAGCTGTAAAGGAGGAGTCTGCCAAAGATGCCGATGATGTCAATGATTTGAAGGATGATGCGGAGAAGAAGGGTCATCCCTTCTTCTACAAGAAACTTACCCGTCATTATTTGGCCGATGAGCCGCGCAAGGAGCAGCGAGATGTGCAGCTGACGGCAGCCAACTACAACACTCGCACCAAGGTGCTGGTCGTGGCCTTCAGCTCCGGAGCCTTCTACCTCTATGAACTGCCCGACGTCAACATGATTCACTCGCTGAGCATCTCCGACTATCCCATTTCGGCGGCGCTCTTCAACTGCACGGGTGACTGGGTGGCCTTGGCTTCTCGGGAGATTGGTCAACTTCTGGTGTGGGAGTGGCAGAGCGAACAGTACATTATGAAACAGCAGGGGCACAGCAGCGAGATGACCTGCATAGCCTACTCCTCGGATGGTCAATTCATAGCCACCGGTGGCGAGGACTCCAAGGTGAAGCTGTGGAACACGCAGAGCAGCTTCTGTTTTGTCACTTTCAGCGAGCACACGAGTGGAGTGACTGGCATCCAGTTTAGCAGGAACAAGAAATTCCTGGTCAGCAGCTCTCTAGATGGCACAGTGCGTGCTTTTGATGTAAACAGGTGGGTTTTGCTTTAGATCTTAAAATAAAAAGAGTTTAATGATCTCCCTTTGTCCTCTTCAGATACCGCAACTTTAGGACTTTCACTTCGCCAAGTCCTGCTCAGTTTTCCTGCGTCGCAGTTGATTACTCTGGCGAACTGGTTGCGGCTGGTGGTCAGGACGTATTCGACATATTCCTCTGGTCGGTGAAGACGGGCAAGTTGCTGGAGATCATCAGTGGCCATGAGGGACCTGTTGCTTCGATAGCATTCTCCCCAGTGGCCACCTCATCCAGCTTGGTGTCTGGTTCTTGGGACAAGACCGTCAAGATCTGGAACTGTTTGGAGAGCAACAGCGAGCACGAAACTATCGATGCTGTTTCAGATGTTACCAACGTGGCCTTCAGTCCCAGTGGTGAGGAGGTAAGTGTGTCGTCAGGATTCTTGGGACAGTAGATCATGGCAATATTTACAGATTGCTGTGGCCACTCTAAGTGGTAATATAACCATTTTTGACATCAAGTCGGCGGGACAAGTGACTAGCATAGAGGGTCGAAATGATCTAAGCGGGGGCCGCCTGGAAACCGATATAATAACAGCGAAAAAGAATGCCCAGGCCAAGTGAGTAGCTTTGAAACTTATAATATGAATTTATGTATTTATTAATTTAATGTTCTGTTAGTTACTTCTCCACCATTGAGTACTCCGCGGATGGCGAGTGCATACTGGCTGCTGGCAAGTCGGCCAACATTTGTATATACCACGTCAGGGAGGCTATTCTCCTGAAGAAATTCGAAATCACACAGAACCACAGCTTAGATGGTCTTAATGTGAGTACTTATAAAAACCATCAGTGAATGTTTCGAATAGAACTTTTGATTTTTATTTGGCAGGACTTCATAAGTCGCAAACATTTAAGTGAGTTTGGTAACATGGCCCTGGTGGAAAACCGTGAAGAGTTGGAGGGCGGCAAGGTGGCCATTAGATTGCCGGGAGTTCGCAGCGGAGACTTGTCATCCAGACGATTTCAGCAGGAGGTTAGAGTGTTCTCCGTGAAGTTCTCACCCACGGGTCAGGCATTTGCTGCGGCCGGAACTGAAGGACTCTGTATATATGCCTTGGACAAGGGTAAGCTCTAATCATATTTACATTGTGCTTGGTACTTTAATTAATAACTGATTTCCTCAGGCGTTGTCTTCGATCCCTTTGATCTGTCGCTAGAGGTCACACCGAAAGCGGTCCACGAGTGCCTCAAAAAGCAAAACTACACCAAGGCACTGGTCATGTCCCTGAAGCTAAACGAGCCCAATTTGATTGCCCTAGTGCTGGAGCGAGTGCCGTATAAGGACAGTGAGTGAAATGCTAAATCGCCTGCCGTATTTGGGGGCCAGTCCTTGTCTGTTTTGGCAACCTTCAGCCCTGCCGCTGCTAAAAATAGCGGCGACACACTCCGCCAGAGAGGCGGTCGCCTTTGCCCTGACTCCGTTCTCCGATCGAATGTGCAAATTTGCACTTTTGCTGTGTTAATAAACAGTTTCAAGGTCCTCGCCCCAGCGCTTACCTTGGTTAATAACCCCTTCCAATACCACTTGCATACGTATTATACGTTACATGCAAATGGCTGGCCATAAACAGCTCTGCCAGCACGTGTCTGCATTGCATGCATATTGAGTCCTTGCTCCTTTCCCTCGTTTCAGTCGAGCTGGTTTGTGCGGATCTGTCGCCGGAGTTTGCACAGCGACTGCTGCAACAATTGGCCCGCCATCTGCAGTCCACGCCGCACATCGAGTTCTATCTGCAGTGGAGCTGCTGTCTGCTGACCAAACACGGCAACCAGGATGGAGTCTTTCAGCACACGGGATTGCTGTCCCTGCACGAGGTGCTGTCGAGGAAGTACGAAATGCTCAACAAGATGTAAGAGTAAATATTTCCTAGAGTGAACACATCTTACCGACGACCCCTTTCTTAATATTTTATAGCTGCGACTATAACAAGTATACGTTGAGAGTACTCTTGGACAGGACTGACAAATTGGAGCAGGAAAACGAGGGGAAACCAAGTGCTATGGAGGAAGATAGTGACGAGGAAATGCTACTCATCAGGTCAAAGGATGATCAGAATGGGCAGACGCAATTCAGCGATGAGGAGGAGAGTGCCAGTGAATCCGAAGAAGACGTTTAGGAGGTATATAGCCAAGTTTAAACACTCTGGTTAATTCTGTTACAAAAACCAACTTTAAGTTTGTTTGATAGATTTACGCGCCTTGTCTTTTATTAAGAATAAATTTAAAGCTTTTCGATAACATTATTAGAGGGTTCACTGAACTACGAGTAGCTGAGTGAACAACATAACTTAAAAGATGGAAAGAATATAGATATTTATATAAACTTAACTTGCTAGCAATTACAATTCTAGATAAATATATGCATGTAATATATAGTTATGATGTAATTTATTTACATTGTGTCCGTATTTTCATATCAAATATAAACTCGATTTAGCTTAACAAATATATATATGTTTATTATATATTTTCAAAAATTCTGCCTGATGTGCGCTGTTTGAACTACAGGTCGATTTTAGTATTAGATGTAAAAGCCACAGCTCTAATGTTTGCATTAAAATGCGCTATAATGGATAAATAATTCTAAATATGTAAAAATCTCTAAAAGCATTCACTGTTTCACTGTTTCATTATTTACAATCCAAATATCCTTAGAGGCCATTGTATTATTATCTCCGTAAAGCACCAATTCCATGTCTTGGCTGATTTGCTTAAGCCTAATACAAAAGTTGAATTAAAATCGTTTGCCAGAAAGTGTATGACTTATGCGTGTAGCTCGCAGTTGCAGAGAAGGTGTATACTTTCAAAGTAGGGACAACCCTTTCGATTGGGCGTATTGTCACTAGCACAGTGATATACATTTGTTCAATATCCGGTGTATATAAGGCAGAACTAACTGAAAAATTTGTGGGTCCTTGATTTATGCCTAGAGTAGATGAAGCCTATAACCCTGTGGGAGTGCGCGGTGTTCGAGAGCTTTATAGTTCCTTCGTTCGTGGCATAGATTTAAGAAATTATATATTGTAGTATCGTTAAATACAAGATCGGATCTGTACAAAGAAAATACTCAAGTGATCAATACATTCTCCGTGAGCAAATAGTCGTCGACATCTAAGCTATACTCAGTACATTCGATTTGATGTACCCGATCTAGTAGTAGTGTAGTAATACCCATGCACGCACTTATGTAGGTAACTGTAGGCTTTCCTTGTGGTTTCTTGTACTTCGATGACAGGGAGCGAGTTGCGGAGTTGCTAGCTCTCTTTGCAGATACTAAGATCCAAAGACTCGCGGTCTCTGGCATTGCACTTGGGCGCTAAATCCAGTTCAGTAGTAGTTCCATCATCAGGTTCGCGGTCGTTCGACTTTTTAACGGAGTCCAGACATGTGCAGTCTGGAGCTCCCCAAATCCTAGGACGACTTCATCAGCAGTATCGGCCAGTACAGGAGTACGAAAACAAAGAACAGAATGGGGAACACGGCGCGAGAGACCTTGTCGATCTCGCGCCACATGATCTTCTCCACGCCAGTGTCCGTATCCGTCCAGGCCACAGATAGAAGGCTCTGACGCCTGGCCGGCTTTGGTGGTCCACCATTCCCCTGCAGCGAGGTCTAAAAGGTTAATTGCAACGAAATATTTATGAGCGGATACATTATCATTCGTTTTCTTTTTTGAATATTGCCCAAGACTGTACAGTGTACACCCCATTAGTTGCATTCAATTGAAAATTTGATGTGTGGTCGTGACAGGTGCACTGGTTCCCCCCGCCCGTCACCAGTGAATGGCTCACCTGGCCCGGCGTCGTGGGCGTCTGGGTCGCTTTCCGCGAGCGCACCGCTCCTCCTTCCCAGCTGGCCACCGTCGCACACTGACCCTTCTCCATGTTGCTGATGCGCTGCACGAATCAAACGAAAAACCGGAACGACAAGAGGGTGGCATTACTTATTAAAGCGATATCCCCACAGCTGCCTTACCATGGGCAGTACCTTGGGTATGCGGTTCACCTGGTACTGGTACTGCACGTCCAGCACTTTCACCACCACGAACTCGGCCAGAGCGGCGAACACCGACAGCATGCAGCCGGCCATCCAGAGGTCCAGGGCCTGAAACGAAGGATCCCATCGGTTAGAACCATCGAACATAATTAAGGTTGTGTTATAAATTATAAAATTGGCCTGTGTCCCAATCAGAAGTGATAATTGAGAGTTGTGCTTCAAATGACTTTAATTGTATTATATTAACTTTCTTTTACTAAAATTGGATTTGTTTTTAATTTAATTGATTCTTCTTCAAAAGAAAGTTTTAAAGTCCTTTATTTAGCTATCTTAAATATGCTTTGACAAAAAATGATAGTCGGCTTTCGTAATGAATCTATCGAACTTCCGGATTGAAAATATATTGTATGTTGTATATGCCATACTTCGAAACACTTTTATAAATTATCTTAAAGCCCAAGTATTTATGCACATCCCAGAATTTAGCTTACAAATCAAACAACATTTTCAAAGACCTTTTGAAAACTAATATGTAGTAGACCATAAATGTGTTTGGATTTTACTAGTTTGAAAAACTCCTGCTGTTTAAAATATTTTTGGGCCACTAAATGTTACTAAAAGATAAAAGTAGACTTTGTCGCAAAACCTATATTTGTTTTGTTGGTGATTTAATACTCTTATTTATATGGACAATTTATCAAATTTAATCAAACAAATTTAGTTAAAAAAAAAACAGAAATATTTCATTTTTAAAACTAGTTTATACCCACCTTTACGTAGGCCACTGGCGGAATGTCGGCGCCCGTGAACATGGTGACCAGGGTCAGCATGCAGGTCACCAGCAGCGTAACACGGCCCGGAATGGCGTCCAGTCCCAGCCAGAAGCTGAACCAGGAGAGCATCACCACCAGCGAGGAGGGGGCGAAAGTCTGGATGAGGTGGTGGCCAATCTGGCGCTCAAAGCGGAAGTACACTGTGAGGCGGGAGAAGTTGCCCACCTTCTCCGGCATGTAGCCGTCGCTCTCCTCCAGCTCCAAGGGCTGGCCCAGATTGTACTGCAGCAGCTTCAGCTCCGGATTGAGGGTAACGCCGGAGTCCGACCAGCGTAGCTTCACCTTCTGGTTGTTCGACGAGACTTCGGGTGGGTGAGGGATGAACTCTCGTTATGTAAATCTATGGAACAGCAGGGACAGGGACAGGGACAGGGACAGGGACGGGGACAGGAATGGGACCACTTACAGCTCTCGATGTAGATGGGACACACCTGGATGTCCATGGGGTACAGCTGGAACTCCATCTGGCAGGCGATGATCGCGTGCATCCGGGCCGCATACCGCACCGTCTTGTTCTTGTAGAGCGTCACCGACGTGAACTTGTGGGTCAGTGTCGCTATTTCTACAACGAAAAGACATCGAGAAGACGTTGCAGAGATGCGGAACAAATGGGTTTTGATTAGAACTATGGCATTGGCATCGATAGACTCATTTCTTTGCGCATTTCGGTGGTGGCTCTGTGATTTCGTGGCTCGATTGGTGGTGCCGTGATCGTGATCGCCTTATTTTCTAGGTTTAAGCGCGACATTCTAACTAACGACGAATGAGTTTTGGTTGAAATGGGTGGGTCAAACTTGACTTAATTGTTTAAAAAATAAATAGGATAGAATTTAACTTAGTTATAAGAGCGTGACAACAAATGGATGTAAATGAAATAAGTTAAACTATATAAATAGTAAGGTAACTTAAACTAAAAGATAAAATAGTATAGGTACGAAGTACTCTTATCCCATATCAAGATATATATATTTGTTTAAATAAAAATTAAATACTTTAACTTGTGATGCTAAACAAAATCGTGACAACAATCGATTTTGGTTTTGTAAATGTTGACAAGGGAAACCAAAAATGGAAAAAAACTAAATTGCCCTCGTGATTCCAAGGTGAGATCTTATCAGGACTCCGGGTGCAACTGCAAATTTTCATTTTCGAATTCGGGCGTGGGCGATGGTCATGAAGGGAGGTGTGTAGGTGTACGGGTAGCTCTACGGTGGGTTGGAGTGTCCTGTTTGACCATGGCATTGGAGCCCGAATGGAATTCGTGCGTGTAATGAGAGCCGCTCGAGTGGGCGAGTCCGGTATTGAGTTGGGTTGGGAAATTATACAAAAAAAAAACTTAAATATACACTCGGTTTTTCGCTAGGAATGGGATGTATGGATATATATACACACAAAGGACTATATGGCTCGAGAATTCATTTGAATCGGCCCAATACGTAGTCGGTATAGATAGGTTTCGTAGAATGTTGAATATACAGGATACATTGGATGGGTAGATATGCGCTGATACTGATATTGATACTGATACTGATATATCGATTTCGATGGATTTTGGCAAAACACAAAAGTGGCAAAAAAACACAGATCTAGAGTCATTTTTGATATACTTATATCTTTCTTTAGATGAAAGTTTTTCGAATCTCTTTCGCCCTTATTGCGTAGCATGGAAGTGGACGCAACATATGGACTTCCGTATCCTATGCAGAAGTATCGGTATTGTTAGTTCGCGATTTGTTAGTAGTAGTAGTAGTTCGGTAGAGTAACCGGTGGATTAGGAAAAAAACAAACAAACAAAGGAAAACAAAGTAATTCGTTACTATATACAAACGGTCCAGAGTTAGAGAGTTAAATTAGACACATAAGTGATGAGCTCAGCTGGACAAAGTGCATGAATCCCGGTCCAAGATACGTAAACGTAAGAACACATCGACACACAGACTACTCGAACATGAAGCTTTGGATATCCGTATGTATCTCTACGGTTTTTTGGGGATGTGAACGTACCGGCAATCTTGGAATTGAGAAAGTACGGATCCGGCTGCCAAAAATTCTCAAAGACCTCTGGAAGCAGCGTCACGTAGTCGTCGCCCTCCTCGAATATGTCATCTGGGATCTCCAGACGCGACTCCAGCCAGCGTTGATGTATAAACATGTCTACTCTGAAAATGTACACAGTATTGCTATATGCTCCATTATGATCTCCCGATTGAGGTCTCTCCAGATAGGCAACCACTTACCTAAAGTCCATATCCTCTACGTTAATTGAGTTAATATCTACAACGAATATGCTAAAGTCTACTATCACTGGGGAGCCCTTCTTCGAGGGCGGTCGTATCTCTGCAATAAATCAAGGCGATCTCCGGTTAGCACACCTTCACGTTTGGTGTTGAAAGATTTTTTAAGGAATAGTTTCCCCTACTGAATGTTGTGCAAACTTTCGTGACTTTCTAAGACTCCCCCAAAACAGAAAAAACAACACCCAACTCCTACTCTTACTCCTCGGCAAGTTCAGGGTCCTAATGCGTATTACACAACCGGCGAAAATCGATAGAAATAAAGGTGTTGATTAGCTCCAGCAATTGCCTCAAATGAAGAGTACACGCCTCTGGGTAATTTCGGTAAATTATTCAAACCTTCGCAGGTGGCTTCTTGCAAACAAATGCAGCTATTGCATAAGCAGTAAGGTCGCATTTCCAGTTTATTGGATTCAGTAGAATCTAGTTCCCATTCAAATTATACTAAATAATCTATAGTGTTTGGGATTGTAAACATTGTGTTTAAGTAATCTTTTTTTTTTTTTTTTTGAAAATCTAACTATGCATTAACCAATTATTTAACTTCATTATATTTAATTTCAACTTTACCTTGTGATATTTAAAGAAATATTTCATTTAATTTAAATGCTTGAATGTGCTCCAAAACTTGTTATTAACAAATGTCACTAATTGCCTTAACAACATTTTTGATTGGATAATAATCAGCTTGTTCTCAATTTATCTTTTTAAAGATTAATTGCTAAACACAAAATGTATTTAAATGCATGAGGTCAATATTGCGATTATTGAACTGTAGACTTAATAGCTTAAATTAAATTTTTAAAAGGGTAAACGAGAAGAAGAACGAAATAATAAATGGCAAGGAATATTTTATATTAAAGCCAATAAATGCATTACTATATAGGATACAGGTTGAACTCAGTAGAGTTTACTTTTTGCAACAAACTATTTATGGAGTAATGGAACTTTAATGTGAGCTCTCCTTCAGATCTGCAGATAACACAAATTCTTCGGTAATTCTGGCAGGCAATTGACGCCGGTAAATGTTATTTTGATTTTAATCGATCGTAATACGCCGGATGACGTCAAAGTCCCATTTGGGAGACTGGTGAGACTGGGTAGCCCCGTAACCCTAACCCAGTATGCCATAGACGGAGGAGGCCCTGAAGTTCGCCGCGTCACGAAATGAACGGAGAAAAAAACTAAAACAGTGGAAAGGAATAAAAAAAAACCCCGAACACGCATATCCATATCCATGGCTGGTGGTTTCATGGTGCAAACAAATCAGAAATCACAAAGCAAAATAAAGTGGGGGGCAATTCGGAGCAATTAAAAGCAAAAGGAGACCGCATCGAAAAGGACACCTCCGAGGAGTACGATTTACCGTCCGTAACAATTGCACTGGGTTGGGATTAGGGGGTATCGAAGTATAGGTATAGCTATAGGTATTGGTATAGGTATAGGTATAGTTCAACTTACCCTTGACATAATTAGGCGGAAGAACTACTCGCGGCTTGGCTGTGTAGTTCATGTGGGCTTCCGTGGCTTCGCTCAGCCTGCAAAATGAGCAGCACAAAACAAATGGGGGAAATTCAAATGCAGTCCTTTTCATTTCTTTACGTTTTTTTTTTTTTTTTTTTTTTTTGTGCGGGGTATAGATTGGTCGGGGAAACCCCCTAATTGAGGGATGGGTGGAGAGAGAGGAGAGCATGTCTGCCACATGCAACTGTAGCAAACTTTGTCAATTTAAGTCTGAATTTGAAATTAACTTCCTTCGTGCTGGTCGGGTGCTTCGATTCGATTCTGCTGCGCCGTTTAACCTCCTGGCAGGTGAATAATATTAGTTTCCTTCTTTCCAATCGGCCGTAAATGCCGTGCAGGATTCTCATTTGACTGTGATCCAATTGACCTTGCTATGGATATTTCGAACCGAAACTGAAACTGAAACCGAAACCTAAACGAACCGAACCGATTTTGGCAGTACTAAACGAAGGTTCCCCTTGAACTGGAAACGATTCTGGGTCTGGGATTCGTGGGGGTTGCACTTGGAGTCGCACAGCTCCAGATGGAAATGTGAAATGGGAAATGGATCGGGGAAAAGGAAAAAGGGAAAAGGAGTAACTCGAGCTTACCACATCAGTATGAATCCCAGTCCAAACGATATGAATGCGTGTGTGTTGAATTTGTCGAGCATGATGTTGGGGCGACGGCACGGGAAAGGATTTGTAACACAGACCTCAAATCATCTCACTTTACACCGACGTGGGAATTTCATAATTCGGTTTCTGTAACACAATATTTTCGATCATTTGCATTGGTTTGCTGCCTTTTTGTGTTGTATTTTATTTTTATTTTTTTAGGTTTAGTTTCTTTTGGGCTTTGCGGTCGGCTCTTACATTTTATTTTGTCTTGGTTATGCTTTGCTCCCTGGCTGTTTTCTTTTTTTTTTCTATTTTTTAAGGGGCTTTCACTTTGTACACGACACGAACACTGAACAAAAGATATATATGCGATTATATATAGAGAAAGAGAGAGAGCGAGCATAGATCGTATATAGAGTGGATCCTGGATGGGTTATCGTTATGCGCAAGGTTTTGCCTCCGGCTCGGCTGCTGTTCGGAACTCGAATAAACAAGAGCCGAGCTCTGGTGGCGAAAGAGGGCTCATCTAGATACGAGTATCTGTATCCGCATCTGTGATATGTAGATACCATGCCCGGTTGTGTGGGCGTGCGATTGCGGATTGCCACCGTAAACTGATATCTACGGTGGGAACTCTCTAGCTTGAACTGGCCAATTTTGAGGAGACTAAGCTTTAGTTCATGTTGTTTCACAATTAGAGACTTTAATAACCTTAAATAATAATTTCTAATCAAATAAGTCCCAAAAAAATATATTTTAAATAACTCTTAAAGTTTTTGTGCTAAAAATAATTATGTATTATAATTAAATTCAAAACTGCTTATAAGTGATCAATGACTTTAGAAAATTACACCAGTTTATAAAAATTTCAAGAGTAGATCATGATTTAGAGATGGTAGATACTTTAAAATAAACTAATTGAATAGAAAATAGAAAAGTTTTTAAACTCAAAATTGGTTACAAGTTGAAGAAATTTTGTAAAATTAAAGCATTCTTAAAATATTGTATTTATTAAAGGAAGAGAAAAATATTTGATATTTTTTGAAACAAGAAAAACATTTTACAAAGCTGGTAATGGAAGGTACATAAGCCCTTTTAGTATTTTGTAAGGCTGTTGATCGAGATAGAGAATTCCCCCTGTAAAAGTGGACGCGAAAGGGGCTAAAGGAAGGAGCTGAAGCGGAGGAGGAGCTCCGGCAGCGGTCAAGGCATGGCAAAATACTGGTGCACTGGAAATTGCCCCGGCACAGGGCACACAGCACACTTCTCGCCAAGATTCAATTGAATCGCGTGCCAATTTTACTTAAGTCGCTGAACAGACAGACAGCTTTTACGGCGATGGCCGGTGTGTAACAGCTCAATCTATGCGACTATTTATGCGACCGATATCTGGCAGATACGACCCGAGGGTATCCGCGCGGGTAGAGTAGGGAGCATGGACAGATCGAGGGTTTCAATTGCAGGCTTCCTGGCCACCGGCAGCAGCAGCAGCAGCAGCAACACACACATAATTGCCTGGACATCCACTTCCTATAAATTACTTCTGCGGCCTGACATTGGCAATGGCACTGGCAATGGGTATTTTTTCGCAAATTAAAAATTCCACTTCCAGATCTGTCAGCGCTCAAACGACCATACAGATAGATAGTATAGATATATATGCGCGGATGTATGCAGATCGTGAGATGAACCGTATCCGGCTAAGCCCGGCCTCAAGTGGTGTGGGCACACACACGTAGATACGGATCTTGGACAGGAATGCCTAAATCACTCACACCATATGTCATAACGTGTCACATCTCACAGATACTTTTGCCACACTCTGATTGAAAGCACGCACTAACTGAGCAGCTGAGAGCCAAAAAGCCATTAATATTCATGCAGAGGATCCTGCCGGTGCGGCTATGTTCAAAGATCCAGCGTTGGATTAAAATTAATGGAATGGCATTTAAAAATGCCGCCGTATTTTGTTATATAAAAGCAGGATTTTCGATCATCGAGACAGCCGTCCCCGGCAATTACATTAATTATGTAGTTAGTGGCATTTATTAATGCTCCAGCGGGGCTTCCATTTCCGAAAACGGCCTAAAATTACGCGACTTTAACGCCCGCCTCACGCGAACTCCGCAGTACACCCATCATATATCCCAGGGCGTATGGCACTATTGTATATTATTCAGATGTTATATGGGGAATTACCGCGCTGCGGGAACGAAGCGCGCCCGAATCCGTTCGCCTTCGCTCAGGAACTAAACTGAACTGAACGGAACGGAACTGAGCCGTGGAAATACGCGAATTTCTTGGCCGCTCGCCTTGCCAACTTTAATACGACATACGAAAAAAATCCCCCAACGTTCAATGGAGGCTCAGGCACGACAACCAACTGTAACGGGTTTCCACTTACAACGATGGGAGTTGGGTTCGGACGAGGACTAGGATTGGGTACTGGGTACTGGGGGGTCTGGAAGGACGACGATTGCATGGGCAAATTGGTGTTGGGTTCCTCCCCCCTGGAAGTGTGTTTGGGAATTTCTAATTCCCATACCCCGTCGCCATATGAGAATGATCAAATAAATTCGCTGTTTCCCATAACTGTCACAAATCCATCTGAAAATTATGTGTTTATGAGTAATTTATTCAAGGACTTCTACGTAAAGTTATGTTAGTAAGTCTAATGGGGAAATTTTAAAGACATAAGAAAATATAAGTGAACAAAGCCTACATCTACTTAATACTTAAATAAGAAAATATAATGGAATTTTGTTAGAATTGTGAATCAGAATATCACAAATATCTGGTCATGTTATTCTGTCAACTTTTAAGATCTTGGATCACTACTAAACATTATTTGTATGTAAGTATTCTTGGGGGTTCTAGATATATCCTCAGCCGTTAGTGGTGACTGACATCGGTTGGGTTTTCCAACAAAGTGCATGCGAATTGACTTGAAAATTCCACAAAATAACCAAAACACTAAACAACTGCCACACCAAAGCGAATCCCATCCCATCGCATCCCATCCCCACCTGCCACTAAGCCACTAACCATTGCCCAAGGGCTGGAAACAAGGCCTGAATGGAGAATGGCCCCCAGGCCTTAGTCCTCGTGGGAAATTTCTATATGGCTGTGTAAATACAAATCGCGTTTGTAGGACCGACCGTCCGACCGACCGACTTCGACTATAATATATAGCATGTGGCGCACTGACACAGCCATGTCGTGCATATACTTGATGTAGACGCTGCTACGCGCTGTACATATGGACATACGGTAGGGTAAAAAGCCACTTTGTTATGACATTCTTGTAGTTGCTGTTGCTGCTCGCTAACTGACAATGAAACGGAGTTTATGTTATTTTCGCTTCGATTGTCTTGCTGTTGATTCCGCTTGGTGTCCGTCCAACCGTCGAGCTAGTTGGCAGCTCACGAATCGCTAGTCTAAGCTTGTTGTCAGCCAGCCAGTCAGTTAGGGCTAATTGCCACCAGGCAGGCAGGACATTCGCCACGTCCTTTTCCAGGGTATCGCGATGTGGCATAGTTGTTGCGGTTTATGGCCTGTGCGCGTGCGGCACAGTCGACCACTTTGATTAATGGCCAACTGGCAACTGACAACTGACGATGACGCCAACAAAAGGCGACATCCCGGGCCGACTCCAACTCTCGGCGTGTGCGTATAATTCTGATGAACGACGATTCCCGTAATCACGGCAACAGTTAAACCGACTAAACCGACTCCAATCCTTCGTTTATAGATATCACTTAATATATACGACTGTGTATACAATTCACATTTAAGCCTAGAGAAGAATGAGAGCCGGAAACTTAAGCTAGACAATGGAGGCTCCTTGCTGGTTGGTTCGCTGGTTGATCTTCACGTGCGTCAGCCGCTTCTTCTCCTCCTTGAAGGCCTCCGTGTTGGCCTTCTTTTCGATGCGGCGCTCATTGCGATAGTCCTTAAGCAGGCGCTTGCGCTCCTTCTTCTCTTCGGCGGTTTCGTCCTTGGGCCTGATGGACAGGACGCTCAATGTGGACAGCACCGATTTGGCGCACAGTGATTTGGGACCCGCTGCATCGGGCGATTCGTCGGCCAGATTGGCCAACGCTTTGGCTGTCAGTTGGCCATCGACTCCACCACGCAGGACATTTGTGGGCAGACCGGTTTTGGGATCGATCTGAATGGGAGCTGGATTTGTGCTGGCACTGGAACGACGACTGCGCCGCGGCTCGTCGATCAGCTTGGGATGATTGTAGATGTTCGAGTAGGTCGAGAGGATGGACTCGCAGTCCCACTTCTTCTGCTTGGGGTCGTCCACCTCGTACTCGACCAGCTCCTCCGTGGGATCCTGCTCACCCTCGACCACGTTACGATACTTTTCGATGCGCTCGCGATCCCACTCCTTGTTGTACTCGATGGTCTTGTCCTTTTTCTTGAACTCCTTGAAGCACTGCATCACCACCGGGTGTTTCTGGTGCCAGTTGCCCTCGATATCCTCCATAGCCAGGTCGCCCAGCTCCGGATCATCGTAGCTGGCGTAAAACTTTTCGAAGCGATCGTCCAGCAGGGAGAGCTGCTCGTTGCGACGGATCACGCTGGAGGACATGGAGTATTCGGTGAAGCGCGACTTGACCTCCTCGTCGTCGAAGCGACGCTCGCGCATCAGCGGCGCCAGGCGATCCATCAGCTCGTCCTCGTCTTCCTCCTCGTTCAGATCGTCGGAATCGAAGTCCATGTCCGAGCCCTCCTCCTCCTCGCCGTCCCACTCCTCGTCGTCATCGGAATCGCGTTCAGCCATGGCCTGCATCACGAAGTCATCCTCCAGATCCTCGTTCTCGCAATCGCTGTCCAGGGCGGCCACCACATCCGGATCCCAGTCGAGCCGTAAGGTTTGTGGAGCCGCCTTGTTCAGCATTCCCTCGGATTCCTCGAACTCGCTGGCGAATACGGAGCTGGGCAGGACCAGCTTCGGCGCTGGGCCCGGCTTCTCTGGATCCGCTCGCTGTTTCCTGGCCTGATTGGGGTTCTCCATGAACTCCCAAACCACATCGTTCTCGCGCTTCTTCAGATGCTGCATGTAGTCGTAGTCGTCGTCGAAGTGGATGCCGAACTTCTTCAGCTCCTCCTGCCGCTGGGCGGGATCGGCGGTTGGCTCATCCTTGGTGGGCTTCTGCTGGCGGGCCGCCGCCTCCAGGAGCACCCGCTGTGGGGCATTCTCATCGGTCACCAGCGGATCGTGCTGACTGCGGTGCACCAGATGGAAGGTGACCGCCTTCTTGCGGTCAATGTACGGCTTCTTGCCCTTAACCTGCGGTGGAAGATGGCTGGTGAGTCCGGTTCTGGCCAGAATTTATGTGTTTTACCCACCATTATTGGATTGTTTTCGGGAAATCTTTTGTAAATACAGAGAAACACATGTGCCTGCTGGAGCTGCCACCCAGAAAGGGATTTTCTCCCAGCTCGCTTGTGGTCACACTGTGTTGGCCAATGCGTAGTTGCGAACAGTGTTGGACAACGGTTAAATTATTTGAAAACAAGGCGCCAAATAAGAAACTACTTTAGTTAAAAGTTACGTTTTATTATGGGTTTTGCAGCTCTCTAAAACTGTATAAATTGTATTTCTCCCGAGTCGACCGTTTAATATGGCCAGCTTATTTCGAACTAAATAAATATATTTTTTAATTAATTAACTCAAAATGTGATGCATATCTAAGAAATGACATCTGAATATTTATTCAATGTTATGCATCAGAATGAAATGGAGTAACCATTCTCGACGATATCTTCAATAAAAAGCAGCCCTTAGAAGCGTTTTAAAATTTTTGAAAATCTAGCATTCAATTTATAATTTTAGACAATTACAATTTGTTACGTATCAATGGATAAATCTAAAAAATAGTTTGGGGGACTCTGAATCAAGCAATGAATCAGTTCGATCAAGTTATAAGGTGTAAGATAAGATAACGTCGAACTAGAAAGAACAAATTATTGTATATATATATATAATATATATATTGTCTTGCAAACAGACCGCATTAGACAGTCGGCTGTATATTGGCAACCAATAGCAATGGAAAATTGGCGACCCCTAGAAGCGGATCATCAGAAAGTATGAAACTTATATTGCTAGAAAACTGTTGCCTAAAAATCGAATAATTTAAATATGTAGATAATAACACTCTATGAGCAGTCTGATGAGGAACAAGTAAGTAAGACATTGTCAGCAAATTGTATGACTCTTTACCTGATAAATGTTAATTTTATCTCAAGGCCCAAAGTTCCGATGCTCGAGGGTACTTTGAGTCTTCGGATGGCAAACTAATGCCCCCAGCTGTATACATTTTCAACCACGAGAATTTTCCCACTGAGACCCGAAAAGGAAGCTCAAAGGATGTTGAAGCCTTGAGAAAAACCTTTGAGAAGCTGAAGTGCCCAATTGAGGTAGTCCAGAACCCCACATTTTTTATGGTTAAGGATACAGTCACAAAATGTGGGTAACGAAGGAGTCCAATGTGGTTTTCATAATATTAATAATACATTTTTTACAGTAACTCGGAAATGTTTCTACCATTTGTCGGCTTTGGTCATAGTTATATTGAGCCATGGCAACCGCAAAGAAAAGATCCTTGCGTGCGACGATAAAGAGTACGACTTGGACGATGATATTTTATTTCCTCTCTACGAAAATGAAACCCTAGCAGATAAACCCAAGATCCTAATAGTCCAGGCGTGCAAAGGGAATTGGAAGGCAGATGGTAATACCAAAAGAAATCCCTCATCCTATATCAAGTGCTACAGCACCACCGAAGGGTTCCAGAGCTATCGCAATGAGACAAAAGGATCGATTTTCATACAAACCCTGTGCAATGCGATGGATCAAGATGGACCTACCAAGGACTTCCTCTCAATCATTGAGGATGTAAACGTGAAGGTCGAGGTCCAATCTAAATCAATTGGGTAAGTGTAAGTTAGAGGAAAAGAGTTGTGTTTTTTTTTGGTACCTATACAAAACATGCGACATTTCAGTAAACTAAATACTTAATTTCTAAATCAAATATTATAAGAAGTATTATTAATATATTTTATGTCGCCACAGCCTATTCATTGTCAATTTATTTTCACGGATTTATTTTACAGATGGAAGCAAAAACCATCAGTTAACTCAAATCTTACAGAACGATTCTGTTTTGGAGATTTTGTGCAAAACGGATGATCAGCAGAAGCCTTCATAAAAGCAATATTCGTATTTAACAAGTTAACTGGTTAGCACTTGATAAAAAGTTTGTAAGATCAATTTAATTGCATTTAAAATATAACGTTTGTTTGGTTTGTAAATAAACTTATTTCCTTGTCAAACGCATTTTATTGTTATTTGAAGTTGGTTATTAGTTTAACTAGTGTGGAGTATAATCAGGAAATCCCCAGACTTTAAATCTCCAAGTCAAAACAGATTGGTAGCTTAATACAGTTTTTAAGCCTTTGTATGAAAAGTTACGAGAAGAAAAGACTCGAATATTTACTCGGATATTTATTAGTTTATTGTTTTATGTACATTTACAAACTTGTCTCTTTAACAACAATTGTACAATCGCAATGTTTTAAATACACTTGGGTATGAATATGAATTCGTGGATCTGTAATCTCAGCAGACATCATAGATTATGCAATAAACAAGTTGTTGAAACATAGGTACGATGCTAAAAAGTAATAATAGTTAAGCCTAGTTAGTAAAATCATTCTTTTCTACCGATTAAAAGCTTGCAAAATATCAACTTAACGTAAATCAGATGCTTCGAATATCAGGCTCCTTGCTTCTCATAGTTATACTCACAGTCCTTACAGTTTTTATTTCTTTTTTGTCAGTTAAGAGTTAGTTGCATTCTTTGTTTATTTTATAACATTTCTCGACATGCAATAGAACGAATTCGAAACGAAGCTTAATTTTCAATATGTAAACGATACGCAGATAGACTAAAAATAAGTATACGCTAGTCACTTTTTGAAGATCGTTATATAGTTATTGCCTACAGTGTTTTGGGAGCCGGAGCCGAGCAGGCCGCTATTGTCTTTGGATGACCTCGCCTTATCCGGCACCCTCAACTTTGATTTCTTTTGCGATTCTTTACAGGTTTTTAGCTAATGTGTATTGTATAATGATAATTTGATTATTCCCTTAGTAATTTTGTTGCCTTCCAATCGGCTGGGTTCGCTTGAAGGAGAGCGCATCACTAGACAAAAGCACTTGGATTGCAGCTAGGCTAGGTACAGTCTGGTCCATTCCTCCATCCTCTATTTCAGCGCCTCCTTGGCCCGCTGCTCCCACTCGGCGCGTCTCTGGTGGATTCCCTTGAATTCACCCACTGTGGCTGATCGCTCGATGGGTTTGTTGGGTGCTGTTACTGTTGCTGCTGCTGCTGTTGCTACTGCTGCTGTTGCTGCTGCTGCTGCTGCCACCGGAGACGTTGGAGTAGTTGCTGCCGGGTTGGACTGCTTTAGTTGCAGCGAGAACCTTTCGCCAGCGGGCCTTACACTGCCATTGTTGTTGCTGATGTTGTTGTTCAGGCTATTGCGTCCTTGATTGCTGACCTTGATGGGCGGCAGATAGGTGACCACCTTGGGCGGCACCTTCTGGTGCTGATGCTGCTGCTGATTGTTGTTGTTGTTGTTGTTGTTGATGTTATTGTTGAGATTGCGAAAGTCTGCCACCGAATTGCGATTGCCGCTGGGATGATGGCTGATCTGCGCCTCGCTCTTGGGCGCCAGCTTGTCCAGCTTCTCCTCGCTGTTCGACTGGTTCTCCTTGTCGCTGTCCACACTCTGACCTCCGCCTCCGCTGGGCGGCAGCTTCTTGGTCGTGGTCTCTGCAGCGGGAGCGGGAGCGGAAGCTTGAACCTGTGCCAGGGTCACCACATCGTCGTCCTTGACCTTCAGCGAACGGCGGGCAAAGACCTTCATCAGCTCCGGCGTGGGATCGTCCTTGGAGGGACTGGGGTTGCCATTGCAGCTGGCAAAGGACTTCTTGCGCAGCACCACGGGATTGGAGGTGGGCGAGCTGTTGCCATTGACCTCGACCAGTTCGGGCGTGGCTGGAGTTGTGGGAATGGCGGGTGTGGCTGGCGTAACCGTGGGAGTGGCTGGCGCAGAGCTCTCCGCCTTGGTAACCGACTTCCTGCGCTGCTCCGCCACCTTTGCACGCTCCTCGCTGAGGAACAACCGCTTGCGTTCCTCCAACGAGAGGCGATTGCTCTTCCCGGAGTCCCTGGGACTGGGCTGCTCCCTGTGCTCCTTAACGTCCCTCGGCACACCCTTGGCGAAGCCATTGCTCTTGGGCGTACTCGGAGTGGTGGCCGGTGTGACCAATGCCGGTGTTGCCAATCCCTCGCTGCTGCTGCCGTAACTCGTCCTCACACTGTTGGCACTCACGGATCGCAACTGCCTGCTCAAACTGGGCTCCAGGGTCGTCGGCCTGACCACCGGACTCGGTGGCTTCTGCTGCGGATGCTCCACAATCTCAATCCCCGCCAGATTCTCGCCACTGTTCCGTCGGAAGCTGAGGTCATCGCTGCTCTGACTTCGCTCGCTGGGCGACTTCAGGTTCTTGGCCAGCACCAAGTGATTGGTCTTGTTGTGCAGACGCGCCTGGTCCACGCGGTTCAGCTGGATCTTCATGAACTCCGGCTCGCCAGTGGCCTCCACATGGCTGGAGTTGCGGCGACTGCCGCTGGCGGAGCTCTGGCCCTTGGCCGGCGTGGTGGGCGGACTGCTGGAGAGTTTGGCACTCTTGGTCAATGGGCTGGCCGGACTGGGACTTGCGTGCGCCGCTGGAGCTGCCACCTTGGCTCCCAGATCCAGTAACTTAGGTCGCTGCTTGGGCGGAGTGGCCGGCTCCTTGGGCAGCTTCTCCGTCACATGACCGGACTTCCGCAGAATGTTCACCATCGGTGACTTCACTATAAGGTCTATGTTCTGCTCGATCTGCGAGATATTCGACGCTCCCGGACTGCTCACAATTAGCTTTGTGGTGGTGGCCTTTTGCGGCGAGCTCCTCGCCACCGAGGGCAACTGACCCGCGGATTCGGCTCGGGCCTGGAGCAGCTTGTTGTCGTTTATCTCGAAGCCCAGCGACACACACTTGCCACTGGGCGACATGGGGGAACAGGGCGATTGGGGCGTGCCGGGCTTGTAGTGGGCGGGCAGCCGGAAACTGAGCGACAGGTCGGGAAGACTCGGCATGTTGTTGTGCACGGCCGCGGTGTCCACAGTCTCGTCCTCGTAGTTGCGGAAGCTTCGCGACTTCTCCACCGTCTTGCGCTGCTTCTCCTCGTAGTACAGTGGCGAGGGCTCGTCCGTGCTGGTCTCCAACGAGTTGGAGGAGCTGGAGTGCTGGCCCACTGAGTCGCTGGACCGCGACAGCTTCTGCTGGAAGGCACTGAGGCCCACAATCCGCGGCTTACGCTCAAAGTGCGTGGAGCTCTCCACTTTGGTCTGCTGCTCACGCACCAAAGTGGTGGACTGGAAGGTATCGTTGCCACGCGAGCTCTTCGACAGCAGGTTGGTCACATCGTTCGTCTTCTCCGGCAGAGCAGCACCCAGTTCCTTGGGCAGGTAACGCTGCCTGGCAGCTGGGCCCGATTTGGGCTTCAGTGCTGTGGGTGGTTGCGGATGGACACCGTAGTTGCTGACCATGGCGTTCAGGCCGTGCTTGCCCTCGTGGTGAATCTCCCGCTTGATCGTCTGTCGCGTCTCCTGGACGTGCTGCTCGTGGGAGGTGGCACTGCGCGCCTTGTCCGGCACGTGGAGCGACTCCCGAGCAGCTGCCTCTAGGCAGGAGGTCGAGATCTGCAGCTTCTTGGCCACGCTTTGGCTGGAGTCCGTGTCCTCGACGCCATCGTTGGCCCTGGCTATGGATCGCTTCGAGTTGCGATGGATCAGGCGCCGCAGGAAGCCACTCTCGTTCTCGCGCTCCCGCTCCCTCTCGTTGGCCAGGAAGTCATCTCCGTCCGTGGAGGACTCGCCGCGATTCTCCAGCAATGTGTTGCTTTTGTGAGTCGGACTCCTAAGTCCGAACATCTGTGATGTGGCAGAGGCTGAGCTCTTGCTCATCACCGTGGTGCTGGTGGAGCTCTGCTCGATTGTCTTGGTTCGCTTGGTGGTCACCGAGCTGGCGGCTATCACCTGGGCGGGGGGCGCAATGGCAGTCAGAGTTTTCGGTGGCAACGAACGCGTCTTGCTCTTGAGGTCTGCTTCTAAAATGGTAACAAAAAAGGTGCTTAAGGATCTTGATTACCCTATTTAAAAGCCAACTACTCACCATGAACAGCTCTCAGTCCGGGACTCATCTTGAGGACATCTTCGTTGGCCTCCGGAATGGAGGTCTCCAAGGTCATGCGGTGCTGCCTGGTGGGACCCTTCTTCTTGGCCGGCCTGATGGCCATCTTGTGCTTGGCCGCCGCATGCGACAGTCGATGGCGTTCCCCGCCCACGGCATCCACATCGTCCTCGGCATGGGATCGCAGTATATCCGAGCCCACCGAGATGGACGAACTGGTGGACACCCGCGAGTGGTGACGCTGGTGGTGGGAGCTCTGGCTATCCTCCGTTTCGGCCTCGGCACTGTTAACACTTAACAGGCTGAGCGAGGACACCTCGCTCTGGTGACCGCGCGACTGGTGACACCCACCGGAGGTGCTCCTGCTGCTGCTGGTTCCACCCGCTGCCCGGCGTTGTGGCGAGGCCGGACTGCGGGGCAGACCCAAATCCTCGTCGGAGGCATCGGGTCGATTGCGTCGCTTGCGCAGGACATCCGTGAGTTCCGCCTGAAATGGAAGAGCAAAGCTGTTACTCAGGATTCATTGGTGAAAATGGCGTTTTCAGGTTGTGGCTTTGGTTGGGTTACCCAGCTCTTCCAGCGGAACACAAAGCGAGCCCGCAGGCAGCTGCGTCCCAGGCGACTCTCCCCCATGGAGGAGCCACCCAGCTTCATCTTGAAAGGATTCTGCTTGAAGTCGATCATTTGGCGGACCTCACAGCGCAGACGAGGCTACAAATGACTGTTACGGATTGACTGGTTTAGCCGGGTAACTGTGGCGATTTCTGCGATTTCGCATACAAAATACCCACACTTATGTAGGAAACCCCTCGAAATTCTTACCGCAAACGAAAGCTGGAAGGGATTGGCCTGCGCCCTCAGAGAACCCGAACCTCCGGCTACCATTGTTGGGTTAATAATCTATGGAAATGTCTCTGCCAAGCGGATCACGCGATCTCAAAGATTTCACTTTCAACTCGAGCAGCAGCGGCAGCAACTGGCGACATCCAAGTGCAATGTGCAACTGAAGATTGCCATGCAGATGCGCCTCGGCAGTGAAATGGAAATGAAAATGAAAACGAAAATGGGAATGGGAATAGAAATGGAAATGGCGTCGCATCTGCTTTTTACCTAGATGAAGATAATTGGGTGCGCAATGCGCAGGCACTGGAGATCTGTTTATTGTCAGCTCTCGACTGCATTTCAAGGGTACAACTCTGTCCAAAAGTAAACAAACGAAGCCGAAGTCGAGGAATGATCCCTCCCACTCCCGGGATTCGGGTTCCATTCTTTTTCGCATCCCATGTCGTTCATCTATCAGTATCAGTGTTTGCGGCGCGTGACGCCGCCATCTGTTTGTTGGACTCATTTCTAGTGGGGCTGCTATTTTTGGTAGCTCATTGCCCGAGGATTAAGTGCCGGGCTGGTTCAGGTTAAAGACCTCGCCCATCAATTCTAGTCAAGCAAACTGCAATTGGGGATTTGGGGGCGAGTTCAATGTTCTGCAAGATGATCTATCTTAGCTATCTGGGAGCATACTTCCCAATGCATAAATGGATCACACTTCTTAGGAGTTATTAATTAAAAAGTTATAATTAAGATTGAAACAAAATAATACAATATTATTGCGCATTTCTGTTACCTAAGTTTGATAACCATTCAATTGATTACTTCACTAAAAATAAATGTAAATAAATGTTCCATTATTATATCTTTTGAAATAATTTTTAACTAAACAGACTAAGGTTCGTGATTAGCTCTTCATGGTAAGCTATAAACCGCTAAAAAGCTGATTTAAGCATTTATGACTATTATTAAATATAACTTTTCTTTTTAATTAACATTATTTCAAAATAATCAAATATATGTTAAATGAATATTTAAGCAATTATCTTATTAAATCATTCATATAAATATAAAGTTTACAGAAGGCTTGAAAAAAAGTGTTTCGTAAAATAAAATTATATGACTAGTTAATTGAATATCTTTGAGTGTTCAGCATTTTATAATAAGGTAGCTGAACCTTACAATTTACTAGTATTTAAATACTGCAAAATAATTTCTATTCCCGTAGCAACTACAAATTCTTGACATAATCTTGCACAGCTGCGCTTATTTCGGGGAATTTTCCGCGGTGCGAAAGGCAGGCTACCTACTGTCCGTCCTGCGACCCTTAACCCATTATCCAGCAGAGCTACCTGCACCGGATAGCGACTTCTCAGCCAAGTTCCACTTCGCATTTGAGTAGGAAAATCGGTGAGCGGACTCGACCCGTCACGTTCACTGATTTATTGGCCCACTTGGCGAGTGGGCCAATTCTGGACAGGGGGGTTGACGGGGCAGACGGCTGGAAACGGGGAGCTAGCCGGTGGCCAGTGGAGAGTCGGCTCCGAACATGGCTACACACACACAACCGCCAACATTGGTTACCGCAATCCGAAAAGAGGGGGTTTTCTGGCCAGAGAACGGGCACAGTAAAACACAAGACAGCAGTTGGCCAAGTGGGAGGCATGGCAATCGCTTTGAATTAAACGCAATTGCATCATTGCGCTGTCCGAGTTGCATTTCAAACAAATGATCGCCATCTGCAAGTGGGATAAACGCTTTAAAGTGTGTGCACTTAGCTGGTAGCCCCAATCGGCCACCAGTGTCTATTGTGATTTGACCCTGACTTCGAATGTATTATTTAATGGATTGCTTATGTGGAGAAAATGCAAATTAATGGCAGATCTAATTTTATTGATACCACTCAGGGGAATGGTTTTATTATTTATCGAAAATATAGCGAATTTTGTTATCCATTTGCAACCAAAAAAGAAAATTTCTTAAATAATATTTACAATTTAGGGATCTTTTAATTCATTAATATAAATAGATGTAAATATTTAAACATAATTAAATCGTTCACCTTTGTAAACAGAACAAAACATAATGATCAGATCTAACAAGCTATTAAAATTTGTTTAGAATTCTTAGGGTAAATTAAAGGTAGAAGACTAATACTGAGTCCAATAGTAACACCCACTTGAATAGGTACTACAAGTTGTTTCTTATTTAAATCGTCGTGTTGGAAACCCATAATTTAAAATATTCCTACAAAAACTGGCTTTATATTTACCGAGTTTTTTATATCCAATGCAATTGATTAACTTGGTTAGTTACACATTCTAAACCATTGAGTGTAAGGTGGAAATCGCTAGCACAGCTTTCTCCAAAGCAGACACTTAATTTTAGGCCATGTGAAACTGCGAGAACCCTTCTCCAAACTTTCACCCATTGAGACTGGCTCCCCGGGCTGCCTCACATCACATCAAAGCCAATCGGCTCGAATCAATTTCTCCTCGGCTGTCAACCCAAGTGGCGGAAAGTGGGGCCGGGAAGTGGGCCAAGCCAGTAGAAGTGGCCGGCCGATATGGACATGGGTCGCATTTTTGCGCCGACTCCAGAATGCGCCCATCGGCGTGCGAAGAAATGCAATTAAAAATCCTAACGCGGATGCGCTGTCCCATGATGTTGATTGGACATTGGACACTGGAGTGCTCCTAATGGATGCGGAAATCTGAGCGATAGGCAAATGCAGGCATTGCATAATGGCTGGAGTGGAGTCGAGTGGAGTCCCCAGACGGGAAGTGTCACAGATCTCATGTTGCTGCCAACGAATGTAGGCCGATGAAATGAAATTTCGAGATGTCGGGAGCTAGGAAATCGGTACTACTGAGGAGTGTTTCCCCCATCACCAATCCCCGCCAGAGTTGGTCAATTAGAGAGAAGCGTGTGAAATGTTGCCCCATCCCCATCCCCATCCCCATTTCAAGTCCAACTCCGATGACGACCATGCTCGCTCCCAGGCGACTGCAATGCGTGTTACCGTGTTACCATATCGCTGTCATTCCAAGTCGTCCGGGCTAAATGCCCCCTCCTTTGTACCCCAGGTTCCCAATACCAATCCCCCCCTGCAAATTGCTCGACTGCATTGTCATTTAGTTTTTCCATCATGGCCATCGTGTAGATGTTTTTCTCTTTCTATTTATCCGCAATTAATTCATCAAACTGGTTGGCCAAGAGCTCTGGCTCTGACTCTGGGATCACATCTGCTGGCTGGTAAATATTTATAGACCTAAGCTCGTTTCCCGACCTGCTCTTCAGGCTTTTCAAAGAAAAATCGCCAAGTCAACTTGACTGGCCGGAGGATTAACAGGGTCTTAGAATATGTGTATACTAGGGAGGCGATGAGAAGAGGAGGGAGTCCTGCCTTTTTAGAGCCTCTTCTTGGGAAAGCATTCTTAAATGTTTCAGTTGGATGAACTGCCCCTAGGTCCATCAATCTTAATCAACAAAGCGAATTTGTCTTATGTTCAAAGATGGAATATTTTTTTGTATTTTTAAAACTTTAACCTTTTACTGTGAAAGAAATATGAATTGTTTCAGTAGGTTGAACATCCTCAATCTTTAAGAACTAAGCAAAGAATTCTGACAACCAAAGATGGAATATTTCGCTTTAGGAAATGAATTTAAATTCCAAATTGAAATATTTTCTAAAGCAAGTTTAACCTATAACTGATTATTACATTACATTATTAAGCATCCTGACCAATTCAAGAAATAAGAATACGAACATCAAGAGGAGCATATATGTATCTATATCGATAAACATAGCTGTCGTTCAAAATCAATCGAGTTAATCAATGATCACTAAAATTCCTTCAGGCATTAAGCACTTCCGCCTGACAAATCGAGCTAATCCAATAGTCTACACCAACCGATAACTATGAAATCGCAGTTCTTCCAATCTCCACCACAGTTACCCAGTTGGACCGTTAAATCGCTGGTTCGCTAACTTCTTCACTTGGCTAGAGTCCAGGAATCCCGAGGATCGTGGACATAGCGCGGATTGGAGTCGGAATCGAAATCGGAATCGGAGGACGACGAGCACACGAGCTGACTTCACTGGTTAAAGTCTCGATGCAAACTGATTTAGCGGAAAACTTGCAGGAGTTCAATAGCATAGAAACAGAAAGAAATGCGATTTATTTGCTAACCAGGTTGGCAAATAAGCTGGCTGCCCCGAGGGGTGAAGGGGCGGCAAAAGGAGGAGCTGTGGACTGGCCAAGTGGAAAAAAGTGGAATAACAAGAAGCGGCCAAGCGACCATCGGCTGGCAACTCGTTTGTCCAGAAACCGAAGAAGCAATAGAAGTAACAGCCGACTGCCTGGAGAAGAAGCCGCAAATTGCCACGCGCTGCTGCCAGAGGTGGAAAATCGCCGGGAAAAGCGGCAGTTCGAGGGGGTGCAGTGGCTGGCGGGTGGTGCGAAGACTTACTGCAGTTGATGCACAGAAAGAAAATATACCATCACTATCAGGATAAATTAGTTTTAAAAGTAATGAATTGAACAAGAACAACTTGCTCAAAAGTCTGATATCTGTATCAAATATTTAAACGTTTAACCTTATATTGAAAAATGAATAATAAAAGGTCAAAGCTTGTTTGATAAGTTTTAAATGTTTTGAAAAAAATTGAAATATAATTCAAAACAATGATAGAAAACCTATTTCTAATATATGGATTTTTGAGTGACAGCAAGGTTGTGGTAATTTTCAGCCAAGAGATGGTTAAGATTTGAATTAAATATAAATGTTTATTGGTGACTAGAGCTCTGCCACCCAAGAGACTGCTTAATCTAATTGGTTGCTGAATTTTATCAAAACTTGTAAAACTCATCTTCATTTAAGAGTTTAAAAATATAATATTTTGTTCAGTGTAACATCTAACATTGGTTTCGGTTTCCAGTTGCTAGACGCGTGCGTTGGCTATAGTTTTTCTTTTTTTGTTTCACTCCAAAAAAAAGAAGAGAAAAACGCTCAACCGACTTATGCAGTAATGGTGATAATGATGTAAATAATGAGGTTTCGGCTTATTAGATAACTATCAGACTATTTCATTTTGGACTTTCTTTTGGCACAACTTTTAATGCGTTTTTATTTTGTAGTTTGCAATTGATTTTTGAGTTGCTACAAAGTTGTATCAATGCATATCTACCCGATTTGGAAAATTTTACATAAGAAGTCATGATGCGATTGACTTGGGTTATTAAACTCATTTCCAGAGACAACAACCCCAATTAATAGATTTTCTGTATCACAGATAAGTCAGCTAATCAACGTGGTGACAAAGTTGTTATTTTCCCAAAAAACCATTAAAAATCCGAAGCAAACAAACAAAAACCAAAATCGAATGTGAGTCAACGAACGCTGCGAGAGATTCGGTCAGCACAAATGCAGATATGCCAACAAAGGCACCAATTGAATTTGATTAAAATCAATTTAGATTGATTGCAGCACAAATGCTCAGATAACAAAAGCGGAAGAAATTGAATTCCCCAGTGACCCAAAGGGCCGTGAACCGCAATCGAGAAAAAGTGAAAGTAAAAACCAATATAGGAAGAGTAAATGCCATAAATCCAAATCCTTATTTGTCAAAATTGTGGACATTGGGTTATAAAAATCCTTTCAATTGCACACAAAATAAAAGAAATATATATTTTAAGAAGTGCTATATGATCAAAAAACTAAATACTCTTACTTAAAAAAAGCTAAAACACATCTATTTTAAAGGTGTTTAACATTAAACTTCTTTTAACTTCATATTGAGTAGTGCACTTTTTTTTGTAATTTTTTAAATTCTGCATAATGAAACAAATATTTTTTCTAAGTATCTGAAGAAACCACTACTTTTTGCGGAGCTTTCCTAACAAAGTACAAAGACACAACCCTTAGATGTTACCAAAACATTTAGGAACTCACCTTGAGTACTATGGACAGGCTGCTGGCTGTTGCTGATTCGGAGAAGACGCTATCATGGGACTGGGACAAGGTGTCTCGGGAGTAGTCCCTGGAATCCAACAATATATTACCACTATTATATATGGACAAGGAGGCCAAGGACTCACCCGTCCACATCCAGGAGACGACCTTCGCTGAGGCTGCGCTGACTGTCGGAAATGTCTGCGGCACCACTGGGTCCCGATGCCGATCCCGATCCTGATCCCGAACCGGAACCGGATTCCAGCTCCTGCGAGGAGTCGCCTACGCTGCGCATATGACGCTGTTGAATTCTCTGCTCCGCAAAGTAGCTGCTCCGGCTCAAACCGAGGGCGTCGGGAAAGACGGCCACGCCCCCATGCTGTCGCTGGGCCTGGAACATGGCTTCCTGTTCGGATTGCGACTGGGACTGCGACTGGGATTGGGGCTGAAGCTGGGAGTGACCTGCGACCTGGCTGTGGTCCTGTTTGCTGGCCCGCTTCTTGCCAAGGAGCACGCTCAGCAGTTCATCGCGATGGGAGCCGTAGGACTTGGACTTGGGCAGCGATTGGGTCTGGTAGCTCTCCGTAAGTGGTTGCGGATTCAGAGGCGATCCTGGCGGCAGGGCTATCCCGCTGCGAAGGTTCTTCTCACTGCTGCTACTGGCGGGTGGTGGCAAAGTGTTGCAGGATCCGGGTCCTGGCGACTGACAGGCCGCAGGACTTTCCGCGGAGCTGTTGATCGTGCGACGCCGGAAAATGCGACGCAAGTTGCGGAGCGGGTGAAAACGGCGACGCTTCTGTTGCTGGTTTTGTTGATCTGCAAGGAGCAAGAACAAGGATGAGGAACTGGCCTTAAGACGTAAACATTTTTAGCTTTATTGTTAAATAAAATAGAAAGGAAGGCAGTTTTCCAACAGCTTGCTGGTAAAAAACTTAATTTTTTACCAAATAAAATTCTCATACAAAATATCCTAAAAATATATATACATATTTTGCTTTAATAATACATTGGTCGATTTTTAACGAAATTTTGCGATCCTTTCTATATCACATAGTCTTCCGATTCTTAAAAGCTGAACCCGTAAGTTAAAAATATTAAACAATCGCAATATTTTGAAGTATATACGTACAAATTGAAAGACAAAGGAGTTTTAATTTTACTTAATTTATTATTTTGATTATTTTGATTATATAGTCGCCCGTTTCGACTTAACCAATCAACCAATCTTTTCATAGATTTCCCTTTGATTGACATTTTGGGCCATAAATATTCCAGAGTAAGAGAAAAATCTCTTAGGATTTAGGTTTTCACATTAATGGGCAGGGAATTTGATTATCAGCAGTGGAATTATGTTATCACTCTAGCAGCTTTCGAACCACTCTCTTTAAGACTGACTAACTGTAAAGTCATTTTCAAAAAAGTGTTTGTGTGGAAATTAAATTCAAAGGAAACTGGATTTGCAAACAAAAAATTTCGTAAACAAGCCCATAAACAAAATGCTTTAAATGTGTCGTGCAGCTTTTGATAGCTTCCGAGGAAGTGGTCAGAAGTCATATAAACTATTTGACTTCCTCAGTTACTCAGCAGTTGAACCAATCAATTGTTTATAGAATTGTTCTGTCACTCGTCAATAGGTAAAGACCATTTTAAATCAAGAACAACACGACCGATAAGAAGTTAACAATAAATGGGCGAAAACGAAACGAAAGGTACCAAAAACATGACCATAAATAGGCAAAAGCTGAATACCTCTCAATGAGTGGAAGTTCCCAGCCGAATGAAAGGGAAATATACGGAAATTGCAAGAGTGACAGAGATGGCTTATATGGGGGGTAGAGTTGATAAGACCAATTGGACACCACGTGCAAAATCAGCTTTAATAATTATTCGACAAGGTCATAACTTATCTTTATAAACGGGTTGCACTATATACTAATCATATATAACGTTTACAATTCCGAATGGCTGAACGCCGGTGCAATTCGATTAAAATGTAAAGCCAATATTAATCGAATTCTAATGCCTTCATTGCCTTTTATTGACACTTTTAATTTATGGCCGTAAACCTCAAAAAGATCAAATTTTATGCATAAAAAATGAAACCGAACACCTTGGAGTACGAGGATCATCACATGTTAAAATTATATATCCTTCAAATATAACTTAAATGAGTAAATATTTGTACTGGCTCTTATGAGTAAAACTATTATAATCAATAAAATGCATAAACACTTCTCGTGCCTCGTTAATTCTCAAGTTAACTGATGAGCTCTATAGTCATCTCTGAAATCCGACGTCTCTTAAGTGAGTCACCCTCAACACTTTGTGTGTCATTTGCAAGAAATGAAAGTTAACCAAACGAATACCCGTCTCCCAATGGAAAGTCTGTATTCCCGCTTAAGTAAGTCCATATATTAATTAAAGAAAAGAACCCCACTGAACGGAAGTATGTACAAGAATTTCTAAACAAAACAAATCAAAGAACTTTGCCAAGAAAGTAAACCTCTTCGACCTCTAATCAAAAAAAACAGTCACGTTTTGGGGCCGCGACACGCGAACAGCGAAAGATACTACAGATATAAAAATATATATTTGTATATGGCCAAACACATGTGTAGTCATGGGTACGAATACTTCATTTATGTTTTACTTTTTTGTGATGGCTTGATTTTAATGATTAATTTCACCTGCGTTGGGGCTGGTCATCGCATGCTTAGTCATGAAAAAAAGAAGTAATTCGCTTTATAAATATAACCCGTGGGGTAGGAAGACCCACTGGCACGTCATTCTATTTATTGCTCTTCGGGGTGTCTGGTTGTCTGCCCGCTCGTCTCCGAAATTGCTTGGGGACCAGGCTAATGGAATTTTAACCGCCGAGGGGGAGGGGCATTATCATTACCACCCTCTCTCTGACAAGTGAAAATTGTTTATTTATGGAATGGCTAATTGGGTCAGCAGTCAGACTTTTTTCGCCCCGCAAATGAAATTACATCTTCAGTTGGCAAAAGTTCTTGATGCAATTCGGCTTTAATTGAAAAGTGTAAGCCTATTCAGTCGTAACAGGGCTGTGATTCACTTTATGAGGCAATCCCGATTACATCAGCATTGTGGCTACATTATTTCTAATTTATCTAAAGTCTATTGAGCAAGATTTGTTATTACTTGAGATCCCGTATTGTTCGCTTCGCTTTGTGTGCTGTCATCATCAGTTTGGGTTTCGCTTTTTCCGCGAATGTGGGCGAAATCGGCGTCATTGTCATCTTTCGCTTGGCTTTGGTAATTCATCAAAACTGATTTGGGGCCTTTCAATTTGGCAACCTGATGCCTTGGGATTAATGTTCGTCTGAATAGCTATTTCAATGCCCACGTGGGCTTTGCGAGGTGTTCAAGTGACACCGATTGCCATTCGATTCTGAATTTGCTTTTTGATTCCAAAAAGGTTCGGCTGCTGCAGCTGCTGCTGGCAAGTGGGTTCGTTATTTATTAATTAATCATTGGCAAAAAGTTGTTGCCCCACACTCAACATGCAAATTGTGCAAATCAAATGGCGAACAACTTTTCAGCCAGTTGCAGTAATGGGAGACCTTTTGCCAGCGGATGTGAGCTCGACCAGCTCTCTTGAGATTGTTGTTTTGGGTAAGGTCAAGTGGGCCACGCCCACATCCCACCGGGTCGCCCCCTTGGAACAGCCCACACGTGGGCAGCTTATCCGCTTAACAAGTGCTGAGTTCACTTGCGTGGAATAAAAATAGCGAGCCACCGTGGAGAACAAGAACCCGAAGCCCCGAAGAGGTAGACAAAAGCTCCAAGAATTGCACAACTCCCGCAGCCAAAGACAAATAACAAAAAAAAACGGGTCTCGAGGCCTTCAAATGTTGGCTTTACTCGTGCATACAGTACATTGCAATGCTGTAAACCTCGAGAATTGAATGTTATGCCGATGGCTTAGCCAAGGTTCGTTGAGTTCGTTGGTCAAAGAGACCAACAAGGCGTATGATTAATTACGTCAACACTGCGAATAATCTATGAATTTCGAATCAACTGCTGCGTAATTCTTTCAAATAGAAACCGAGATATAGCTCTTTGCTAGTATCGGTGCATTTGCGCCTATATAGATTAGACATTATACCCGATAGCTACAAATATTTGAGGACAAGAGCTATCGGATTCTATAAAAGATGGCCAAAGAAAAGGAAAATGGCGCAAAAAAAATCCCCTTTTAAGTATTTAGTTTATTATGGTGTATAACTTGAATGGTTTAATCCCTATGGGTCTAAAAGCTTCACATTGTACACACAAAAAAAAACATATATACCGACCTAATGTTTAAATAATAATGTTAATACATATTAACACTAATTTAATATATATATATTTTTTTTGGCTTATTTTGCTTAACGTGCTTACCAAACCTAATATTTATTCAATTAACGGAATAATAAAATGCTTTTATTTATTTATTATAATTGCGAGGATATAAAAATTGTAATTATCAATACCAATAAATTATTATTGTTTAGGTATTTTTGAAGTTTCGGAATCAAAAAGTCAATTTATTTTCATAAAAAAAGTATTAAATAAATAAAATCTCATTTAAGAAATCGTCAAATATTTCATGCTATTGCCTTTCAAAAAGTACTTGTAAATAATAAGTGTACATAAACTAGATTTCTATAGAAAATGTGTTAAACTAACAAATAGACACTGCGATATTGGGCAACTTTCGGGCCTTGCGTTCTGTATTATTATTACCCTTATATAAAGGGTCTATCAGTGCCTTTTCCAGAGAAGAACTATCGCCAATCTTTAGACCAGAAGACGTCGAGTGCAATCAGTCGTCTGCTTGCCGATGGCCATGGCCTTATCAGTCATAGCCTGGTCGAAACGTAGTGCCTTTATTTGAGGTGTTCGCACTCGAATGCGACAAATCACAACAACAAGCGATACGCAGTAAATCGATTACACAACTCGTTTGGCACTTCAATTAGAGGCGTCTGGCCAATTGCCCCAATCTGCAGCTCCTCGTAACGAGGTTTATTTGAAGCGCGAGCTGGGATTGAACCCAAACTACATCATCAACATCGCTTGATAAGCACCAAACTGATGTCAACTTATATAATGACCCATGCTTTTGTGGGGCAAATGTGGATATGTTAAGCTATATTCTCGTTGGAGGTTTTAATTGGCCTATACAATTCTGAACTAGCTTTGTTTTAATGCACTCAACAGTCGGAAAAAAATACAGATAAGCCTTACAAATAATTTGAATAAAAATCGGGGTTAAGTATAAACAATATTTTAATTAATTTCACCTCTTTCTAGTCCAAAAAATACAATACTTTTTATTACCTGTTTAAATATGTATCATAAAGCCGAAAATAGCGGCAGATGTTTTATTCAACTGAAGAAATTCCGCGAATTGTTTACTTTACTGATTGTTGAATATTGTAAACAAGCGTGTTTCAGTTAGAAGACACAATATGGCATATGTATATGTATCTGTTGTACTTTAACTTCACTTCACAGCACACACAACTTTGCACTTAGTTCGACGACTCGAGTGGAGGTTTTTTTCCGATATTATTGATTAAACTTTTTCGACTTTGCATGTAACTTTGTATCTCTGGGATTCGGGCTGATCGCAAACGGATTGCGAATGGGGATTACGGATTCGATTGAATGTTGCCAACTGCAATTGCAATCAGCGACAGTGGAGACAATGCAATTAACGCAGTAACCGGCGCGTTCGTCAGCGATATTGCTCACCTGTTCAGGTGGAGCGGAGCGCGCAGAATGAATTGAATCAATGGGACAACGCGAAAAACCGCCATGGAAATCGAAATAACAGACCCCTCAATACCCATACACACTCAAACAGTCAAGCACTCACTCTCGGGAACTGAAATTGAAATCTACGCAAACGAAACGAAGCGAAAAGGCCGAACAGACCCCACCAAAACGAAAAAACCGAACCAGCGTACTCAACTGAACTCGGCCAAAATGAATTGAATCGAGTCATTGACAGCGGCGAGTGCGGTGCTGGGCTCATTGGCCAGGTTGTGTTGCCAATTCCGACTGATTAGCGTTTCTTGGCCCACTGCAGGTGTCTGCAAGGCGTCTGAACAGCTAACAGAGCGCTGTTGGTCTGTTAACAGCAGGCCCTGCACAGTGGGCCAAGAAGACTATTTAGAGATCAAACCAAGCCTGAATAATAAAATATAAAAGCCATATGTTTGCAATTATACCCTACACCATTTAAAAGTTACTAGCCAAATCAATATCACTTCAGGTTTAAATAGAAAAAACTTTTTTTTAACAATACAAAGATGCCAAAGATTTATTTAGTTTAGAGAAATAAAAGCCACGATATTTTATTTTCATTCATTGACAATTTCAAGCAGCACAGTAGTTCTAACCTTCATCACTCGAATTTCTGAAGTTTTAAAGAAATCTAATCTATTTGGCGTCGTCAGAAAAATCCCATCCAACTGAAATGGCTTGAACTTTTATTTATTTATGTTTATTCCAACTGAATTTGGTTAGAAAAGTTTCCGGTGAATTGTGTCAAACAAATGGGTTCGAAATAATTGTTTGCATGACTTTTTAACGTGACCTTTATGCCTGCATTGCGATTTCACCCACTGTCCAACGATCCGATACGAACCTTCTGTTTATGCAGATTTATTCATGTTGAATTTAGTTGTATGTACACGGTCCGTTATTGTTGATGGCATTTCTTTGTGGGTGTTGTCATAACAACCACACTTTGAGTGACCCGAAATGGATAAAGCTTCCTATTCCCATTACGAATCCAAAGCAAGAACCATTTGCATTAACAGTAGAAAGTCGGGGGCGTTAATTAGCACGTGCAGCTAGTATTACCCACAATTATATAAACATTATCCAGTTATTCAGTTGTCGGTGGCCATATGAGGGCGGGCCCAACGAAAACAAATAGACAAAGGCCGGTTCACATGTGAACTGAGGTACATATACAAGTAGATTGTATACTCCATACGGCTGTGGCTCAATCTGAATATGTATTATGGCCACTTTTATCTCTCGCTCATTGTATCTGCATCTGTATTTGAATCTGGCTGGTGGCAGGGGGTGGTGGTGTCGACAAACCGAAAGCCAAAACATCCATCTAATTATGCACATACGAAACAAGCTAACGAACGAACGCCAACGGTGTTATTTCTCTTTCTTGGGCTTCGAACAAACCATCTGGCCAAGTCGGATAAGCCCTAACCCTACAGGGTGTTCACAATATAGCGGCTTTGTTGCGACTTTTGCACACTTTCCTAACTATCCGTATCTGCAGAGGGTTCACAGCTCTGAACTCTGCAAAACCACTGCAAACAAAGCTGGTTCACTTAGTTTTTCAAGGAAGAGCAGATGGCCTATCTCGTTCCCTATGATCAATGGCATTTCTCTGTAAGTGATGTAATCGAACCTACGACACAAGCTGAATATAGGAAATACATTTGATTTTAACAAGATACTCTTTGGCTAAGCTTGATTTTGAGTAATTTGGGTATAATTTAATCTTTAACAATTTATCACTTATTTTCTCTTCTGTAAATAAAATCATAATAATAAAGTTATTCAAGTTGTTTGCTTTTTACGCTCAGTGATTGTTCAAACAAAAACTGTTAAGTTTGAAAACAAAAATTTCAACAATGCACCTATAAAATTGTTTATTTAACCAAATGAAGAATGGAATTTCTATTGAAAAGAAATATAAAGCCCATTTTCCATGTTATTGTTACATTTTATAAAAAGTATATGCAAAGAAGTGAATTTTATATTTAGCAAATAGTGTTCCATAATGTGGAAACTTTTTTGGCCAGAACCTTTAGGGTATCTTTTTATGACATTGAATATTTAGGCAGTTCCAATGCAGAGCAAGCCATAAAGCATCCATCAAACCAAAGTTAACCCCTGCCAAACTACTCTTAACCTTTGGGGATGGCAATCAAACCAAATCCCAAACCTTTGGCAATCAGAAAATCTTTTTTCATACCCATGTCCTGGGGGATTTTCTCGAAATGATGAACGCGTGAGGGAGAAATCTTCAATATTGTAAGCGATTCCGGGAGAACGAGACCATAGGCCCCAGGCAATTTCATAATCCCACGTTTGGAATGGTTTACTATAGCTGGCTAACGAGAAATTCCTTGGCAGGAATACGGGATTTGTTTGTTTTCTTATATCATAGGGGTGTTATGAGAGCAATTAGGTAACTCACCGGCGGTCGAGGACTGGTGGGCATCGTTTCCTGGACTGGAGATGGGCGTTGAGGTGACTGCGTGGCCGTGGGCGTGGGTGTGGCCCTCCGGCAATGACAATGGTCCCCCGGCACTGGCATCCAACTCCGATTCCAGCGGCGGCGAGTTTTCCCTCACACACGACATCAGGCCGTGAGACATGCTGCTGCTGGGGGCGAAAACAAGGGGAAAACTATTTGTAATTGCCATCTGTAAGAATGCGGTATTAGTGCAATGGAAATGTCTCCTATGCAATGAAAGTGCGGACTCTTCCGCGTCGGTTTCTACGGAGAACTCCTCGCGACTCGACCCATCACTCACTTGCACTGACATCCTGAGACACCGCACTAATGGATCTCCATTATGGCGGTGTTCGGGGAGGAAATTAAATGTCATATTGCATTCGCGATAAAAGCCACGACAACCTGGCGGAAACTCAGTCTGCCAGGTGCCAGGTGCCAGGTGGCATGTGGCAGGAGCCAGTGTGACAGGGCAATTGGGTTTAAGAGTCCTTAAGTTAAAGCATTTAGTTCACTTTGTGGCTTTATTAAAGCAATTACTCATTTAAGGCTGGTCAATTTGCTGTCCTGACTTTTTAATTATAGATAAACATATAGATTTTCGCAATTAAAGTGATTATCTGACATGTGAAGACGACAAAAAAAAAGGAGTATAAATCAAGTTAAAAAAAAATACGAGTGCCAAGAAACTACTTTCCAAAGTTGTTAGAAAATTAATGGACTAACTAAGTATAAGTATACCTTGTTAAAAAACTTAAAGAGTTATATGATTAGGTACATTTATTTTGTTCATTTAATTTATTTGGCGAGTTTTAATAAACCTATCTATTTTATTACAATACAATACATAATTTCAACACAACTCATTAGAACAGTTTTTTTTTGGTTTTAAATATATGGGCATGTGTCCAAAGTATTAGATATTAATGTGAATCACAGGCATTTAAATGGCAAAAATGACTGATGCTTAGGCCCAGTCCATTGTCAGTTCAGTCAACCCACTTGATCACCCTGAATCAACCAATAAATAAATGTCGTGGCCCTGCAGGAACAGATTGCATTTTCCATTTGTTCGGTGGATTCTCTCGAATTGTTTGGATCGAATCGCGGCGGCTAGGCCAAAGGCATTTCAAGGAAAGCTATTTTCAACTAGGAATGTGCCCCTTCATCTGAACTCTGTGGCCTGCAGACGTTGTGCATGAGCATATGCCTTTGGCTCATTCGCCATCTTATGCTGCCTTTGGCTGTCTTTGGCTTTGTTTTGGCGCCGGACGAATGGGACGTGAGTAATGGGTTCCCGGGCGGATGATTCATGCCAAGTTCGGGGATGCCGAACACTCACAGACGTTTCGAGATTTATAATACATCAGGCAAGGCAGTCCATGGTGTGTGGGTAAGGAAAAGATATTTCAGCATAGTGATAAATTACACTTAATGTAAATAAAAAGGAAAAATTAAAATAAATCGTCAAACGATTGAATATGAATTACAAGAAATTCGATTTCTTTGGCTCAAAATGACGAATTTCGATTAAAAATGTAAGTGAAATGGATGTTTTATTTTTGCATTAAACTTTCAATATGTATAAAATGTTCTTTCATATTCATTTAATATTATGAAAATGTACAGTTGATCCCTGATTATTAAGCGCAACTAATTAACTTGGTAAGGTAATAAAAATACTTGTTTGAAATGTGATTAGTGCATTTTTACCCCATTTTTAGCTGCATACTTTTAGGCTGTTTGCTTAATTGCGTATGTAAAGCAAGTAATTAGTGCGGTTGAAAGCAAGGGATTAACGCTCCAAAGATTCTGTGAGTTAACCCAGTTAGGTGGGTTGTCCAAATAACGCGTTAAGCTGACATTTGACCCCTTTAAGGCAACAAGCCACAACCACCCACCCACCAAAACCATGTGTACGTTTTCGGAGGAGGATTTGATGTGCTAATTAGTGGGGGGGAACACACCCCCTTTTAGCCACACTCCCCCTGAAAAAGCAAGCGCAAATTGCAGCTTAAGCGTTTTTTGCGCATTGAAATGGAAACTGCAGCCGCGGAATCGTGTCGACACCCGTGGGTTTTATGGGTGCAGTGCAGCAGCGTTGATGAAATGATGAAGAGCTCCGTAATGATGATAAAACCGCGATGACGACGTTGTTGATTGGAGCAGACAAATGAGCAGCACAGCCAACACAACTGCAAAATGTTCATTTCGTTTTGAGCATTGGTTAATTAAACGGAATGACTGCACTGGGGGGTCCGAGTGGTATATAAATTATATATATGGGGGAGAAATGGGCTGGTGAACAGCTAACTAAATACGATTTGGCATTGAACTTGGGGGAATGCCAAGGCGAAATTCATTAAAGCTGCCAATTGAGCTGGACATGTAGGGGGAATTAGTACGCTAAATACTATAGTTTATGAGTCAAGTGTGTTTGCGACAGATATACTTGAATTTATATAATTGAAATGTTTACCCAAGTTGTTTTAATAACATCATTTACAACTACCTAATCGACCATTTTTGTTGTTCTTGATGCTATAGCTTTTTAAAGTGGAAGTATATTTGCTTGGAGCTTGAGTTTTCCCTGCAGTCTGCGGAACAGCAACCAATTTCAATCCAATTAAATTTCCGCTGCGGTAATTGATTAAGAGCCCGAAAGTATGCCGCAGTTTCGAGGCAGACAAGCCGCAGTGAAAATGCCACCTTTGATTTTCCACCGTTTTTCCACCGAGACGAGACTCGAAGCAGACGGAAAATTCAGACGTGGTCTGGCACTTTTATCGTTTTTTTTTTTGCACGCCGGAGCCGCAGAAGTAACTCATCACCGTCACGCAGTTTTTGCCCGCGGACTCGCGAGCTTGTATCTCAACGTGAAAATCTAACAAATTAACTTTGACTTTCATTTGCATTTCGCAGATGAGCACACACTTACTACTTACTCGCAACTCACTTGGCAAAGTGGGCACACACTAGAGGGAAAATGAAAACGAAAACCAAAGAAAAACAAAGCCAAAACCAAAGTAAAAATAAAAAGAAAACAAAACAGTGTATCTACAGCGGCCACAAACTATAATTATGTGTGGCATTTGCATAGGCCCAAACACGGAGCGGGCTGTATAATTGCACTTGCTCATTACACAAATTTGCCAACTTAATTACGATGAGGCCCAGACAATGGGCCAGGAAGCCGATTATGGCTTTAACTCTAAAGCAAATTTAAGCCCCAAGCGCGATGCGAGAATTTCGCATTTGTTTAAGACATTAACTACACGAAGATAAATATTATAGTTGTTTTGTATCAGCAGTGTTTTTGAATGATTTTTTAAAATTTTTAAACATACGATTTTAAAGTGTAATATTATAGTGTTTAATCAGTTAATGATGCTTAATAATGCAGTTTAATTGATTTATAATTGGTTTTTATTTTAAAATATTATTTATACTTGTTTTGTGGTTTTACAAGGTGTTCCTATGAAACAATAGTTTTAATTTATAAGCTACCACATTGCAGAGCATTAGTATTTGAAAGAAATCTAATTTTTCCCTTAAAATCGGATAATCTGTTTATTTCTTTTTTATTTGCATGATCAAAAAGGTGAGTTAATGTTTTTTTCCCTGTGCAGACACTTGTTACCGACACTTCAGCACAATTCCCAATGGCGAGCTGGTCAGCAAGCGTCATTGCAAAACGGCCAAGTGGCATAATGGCCAAGCTAAAGAGCTGGACAAATTGAAAAGGAAAGTGCCCCTGACCGGAAAGCTCACACAGCCCGAGAAAGAAAAGCAAACAACTGAACAAAAGTGCATGCTCATCGCACATCACACGGTGCACAACCTCCGGAGTATTACCGCACTTTATTTGCCGGCGACTGAATGAATCTGTCATCAATTTTAATGACCAGGCTCCTTCGACTTTGGACAAAACGCGAATCGGGGGCGGCTTGGGTTACTTGAAGGTCGTCTCAAACTGTAAAATTGACAAAGCTGGGGCTTTAAGATGCACTTTAATTATTTAAGTTATAGGCGCAAGGAAATTGAACATGCGGCTGCATGCAAATTTCGGTTTTATTAAATACAATTTGCCACACTTTCATTTTTTCTATTGCCATATTAAATTAAATGGATTTCCAGTCATTTTATTGAGGATCTTAATTGGAAACGCTTAGAAAATGCCATTTTTGCTTATTTATGAGGCAAGAGATGGATGTATCTTGTGTATACAAACTACATCTTGAGTGGGAAACATGTATATGTATATAGATGGGGAAGGAGAACATAAATATTTCAGATAACATGAGGTGTATTTTTCCAGCCTCAACCATTACGAAATGTTGGACAGGTATTACCAAGTGGGCGTGACGCTGATAAGGAAATAAATAAGCAAGTACCTAGCTACTTGTGTATATTTTTCCACTGACTCGTTTGGAAGTGCGAAATATATTTCATTTATTAGACAGATGAGCAATAACCAAAAAGCTTTTGAATACAAAACCAATGAAATTGCTAATATTATAGTTTTAAAAAAACTAATGAGAAATGTAAATGAAAACATGCTCTTTAAATAAACATGTTGCAAATACTTTTGAAATTAAAGAAAAATGTAAATGTAAAAAAACCTTTTTAATAAAATAATATAACGACTTATTTCAGCCATCAAAAACAATTTCTTTGAGTTGTTATTTTCGATCTGTGCTTAATGCTTATTTATTAAATGGAAATTAATTCAAGAAGCTATTAGATGAGTACCTATAAGTTATCTACCGTCCCAGGGGACACTAAGACCATTCTAAACCTTTGTTTTTTTAGGCCCATTTAATCTCATCTCCTTCTATTTGACCGGGCTCTTTAAACGGCGCTTGTGTTTATACAGTCCCTATTTTCGCTCCATTTGACAAATGCGAACTTTGAACCCGAGGCCCATTTGAGAGGCGCATGAAATTGTCCCCGCCCTCTTATCAATCAATCTGTGTTTGATAGATGGAAATCGATTGAAATCGATGGAAATCGATAGGAGGGGGTCAGCAAAAGTTCTGATAAGAGTGTGCTGCCATAGCGATGATGATGATGATGATGACGCAGCAATCGCTGATTCAGAGATTCTGAACACTGGATGATGCTGTTGTTGATTTATTTGCTGTTTACTTTTGCGTCGTTTTAATTGACTGCCAGATGGGAATGTAATTTCCCCCTCTTTTGGTTTGCCCTTTACATACTGCAGATCCAGATCCGAATCGGTGGGACTAGCTGACATTGCGGGGGATCTTCGAGGTTCACCATGAAAACACTTAAAAATCGTTACTGATTGCCTCCGTTTTTATTTCGTCCGCGTGGCCACAACTTGTGGCTGCTGGCGAAGTGAGCGACTGAATCGGCGGAATCTCTGTCCGGATTTCGTAGCACCAAAGGGTAGAGTCATTTCGGAGGTTGGCGTGGATTCGGGGGGTCTTTGAGTGCGTTCGTGCCCAAGGTCAAGGAGCGCAACTGCGAGATTTCTCTCTCTATTTCTCCATCCCTTTTTGCTCTTTTTGCGTGGGTGACATCGTAGCATCATTGCTCCAAAAGTTTGAGAAGCACTGGACTTATGTTGCACAGAATAATGGAGCTTTTAAGAACTCTTAGTAGAACTCGAAAAAAAAAAATTTTTGAAATGTCTTTTAGTGTTAAATTAAATATTTATTTAATGCCCGAAATCAAGTAAATGTTTTAATCCTAAACTATGTAATATAAAAAAAAGTTTTCTAGACCTACTTTCTCTTTAAGTTAAATTATTTGTGTTCCTAATGGTGTTTTCACATTTAACTAATTTTATTCAGAGTCTGCTTTAATGATAAAAAGCTTGTTTTACGTATAGTTTAAATAAAGCCAACAAAACTCTTTAAACTAGCTACTTCATATATAATGCTAAAAAAATAAAACCTTTACAGAAGTTGACAAGAATAATCTATGTAATTTAAAGCGGATAACGATAATATTACTTTATAAATAATAATAAAATGTTGCCAACTGAATGTTGCCAGGACCTTCCATAACTCTCCCATTCTCTTTGCGCAGTCGCTTTTAATCCCGAAGAAACCAAAAGTGAAGCCAACACACATCCGTTCCCATGCAAAAAGAGAGAGCCTGACCTAGTCAACGAAATTGTCAGAGGTCCGTCACCGAATAACCAAATAAGGCAAAAAGGAAGCGACTTCCTTCCTCTCAGCAACAAATCCTTGTATATTCCGCTTTTGGAAAATGGCCAAGGTGGTGGAAATTTTCCGCAAGTGTTCAGCCTTTTCCACCTTCTTGAATTTAGGCAACGAAATCGGCAAAGTCGAAGGCCCAGTTTATGGGTTTGGCCAAATTGAGGCATCAAAAACTGAGGACACCACAAGGTTGTCCCCTTTTTATTTGGCTGAGTGATTGCTTCTTTCCGACGAGAAGGTGTTAAGCTTTCAATGGTGTTCGGAATATGGGTTAATCAGTCTGATTATACGGTTTGAATTACACACAGATTCAAGGTCGATCTGAGCCCAAGGTCTTTGGCTGCCTGCAAACAATGAAGGCAAAAATGTTATTGTAATCAGAATGAAACCCCAAAACGAAGCTCACATTACCATAACAACAGAGACGAAAGCCCAGGTGCGAACAAGTATATATATTAAAATATATGTATATACTCTCGTACATTTAACATTTTAATGCTGCACGTACAGTGGCATTTGAGGAGTTTCTTCCGTACATAAACATAAATTTACTTAATGCCAACGAGACAGACAAAAAGTCGTACCCCAAAGTTTTAAGCAAACACATAAAAGTTGGTGGCTTACATTTCCTCTGGGTGGCATATTTAAATGAATCATTTTCCAACGCAATTTAAAATTGCTCTATTTGCTTTAAAGTATTTTGAAAGAATTTCGTAAAACTCAAGCAGCTAAATAAAGCCAGATCAAAGCGAATTATTATGATGATTTGCTATTTATCTCAGAGTGTTTCCCAATCAAAGAAGCAATTCCAAATCATTGCTCAACTCACCTGATTTCGCTGGAGTGGTTTGTGAGGTCTGTTCAATTTTATTTTTGGGCAATACGATGATTTTCCGCCTTTCGATTGAGTTTAGATCGTTTAGGTTGTCGTTACATTGTTCGAAGCTCTTTTGTTGGTGGTCTGAAAAGAAGCAGGAAAAATACATTGAGTACATGGTATTTGAGGGTGAAGTGATGCAATCGAAATATGTGAGTTCCAAGGTTGGATCAGCTGGTTTCGAGGGACACATGTGTGGGGCATGTGTATCCCCAAGAACTGTAAGCTATTTATGAACTCATCAAGTTCATGTTCATCGAAAACTCCCAGTGATCTATGGCCAAGAAAAATGTGTACTTGTCGGGAAACAATACACAAAGACAAAATATCTGTCAAAATAAGAAGGTTAATTTTTTGTTTACGTTAAACTTATAAAACTAGAACTAATGTTAGGTAACGATTTCATGTAGGAACATGACTTATAAACCATATAAGTTAAGACATGCTAAATATATGGAAAGCAGAAGCAGAAACTTTTTTAAACTAACTATTTTGTCTTTGTGCAGTCAAAAAATCTCCTGCATTAAAATCAATCAACACATTGGGCGGTCAATGACCCAAAAAGCGAGCATGAACCCCGGCACAATTTGCCATCCGTAGACGGCTCCTGGATTTCCCAGCCTATTGGCCGACGATAACGGCGAAAGTCGACCGTAAATCTTGATTATCCCCGGGCACTACAATGGCTTAGAACTAAAGGCTCGAACAGGCGGCGCATTACGTAAGGCTTAAATACCGAAAACAGACTTCATTTTGTCACGTTCCTGCCAAGCCCGTGGCCAAAGGAATTTGCACATTGGGCTAGGCCTTCTCATCGTAACGCCGCTCCCCGCCCCCTTTTCCCACCTTAACCCCTTTGAATTTGCATATCCATATCGCATATCATGCGGTGTATTGAAAGCCGGTGCCCCATTATAAGTATATGAGGACATCCCACCCTGGAAACCCCACTGATGTGTGCGTGTTCTCAGCTGATTTGCATAGAAATGGCCGGCAAAAATGTAGATAACTGGGTGGGGGGAATCGGAGGGCATGGAAGAGGTCAGACCTTTATGCGAAAGTAAAACTCGCCTGCAGCAGGTATGCAATTAAATAACGCCCAAACAAGTGAGTTAGCGTGGCGGAAAGGACATTAAAGGTTTTGGTTACAAGGATAAAACCCAAAAAAAACACTCAAATTCTATTCTATACTGCAAAATTGGAATGCTGTCGCCGGCTTTTCAATTTGAAATTGGTTGTAATGGTATTATCTAATTCTAAAAGTGCATTGTACTTAGTTATTATTTATATTATTATACTTCATATAGCAAATATTTGGTTCAATAAAATTATATAAAATATCTAATCCAATTTTATAAAAAAAATTAGAAATGAGCTAATGCTATTTTTAGTTGCAAAAGGCAGAAGGAAAAAAGTATGAATGTAATGGCTGTGCACCTTACCACCTTCGATGCCATCTTTAAAATAAAATTGTTTGTTCACAGAGAAACTCTGCCCATATAAAGACGGCAAACCCTACCATCATCATCAATCGTTGAAAAAGGTACGAGTAAATAAAAACTTGATCTGATTTCTACGCATTTCCACGTACGATACCATTCCGTTCCATTCGAGATCGAGCACTCGAGTTGCTGCCCACTGCACAGGGCTTTTATTAGATGAGTGTTTTATGCAAATCGCGATCGTCCGAGGCTCCGTATTCCGGACTCCGGACTGGTCCAGTGGCTTAGAACGAGCCGTAAACTTTCACTGCCCCCACACGTGAGTAGGCCCGGGGTTATCTAATTGGATTGTTCGTGGCTGGCGAAGATTAATTGCAGGGGGAGATCCGAGATTCGAGGGTCTTCCGAGATGAGCACTCACAATGGGCCCGAAACAATGATGAAAAGTAAAAGTTTATGTTTTGGGATATCGAACAATGCATCGAATGATGAATCCATGAATAAATTATCCAAGCTTGGATTCTAAACGGGTTTGAACCGCTTTTATCACGGTCTGTTGCCATTAATTTTATGCACTCAAATTGGTTTGCTCTTCCCGTCTTTTTCCATAAAACTTAATTGAATTTCATTTGTTATTTGTTTGGTTTTCTCTTAATGAGTTTCGTTTCACGGCAAAGAAATTAATATCTAAATTGCAAGAATGGCGAATTCTAGACAAGAAAATATTTTAAGCATGTTGAAAATGCCTGGAGAAAATCCAAAAATGCAAAATAAAATATTCTTACTCATCAGTGCAAAAAACATTTTGTCCGCACACCCACAAAAATAAACCAATATGCGAAGGGGAAGAAAAACTTTGCACGCCCATAAATATATCCACACAATAATAAGTGTGCGAAAGAAATAATTGTCTGCTATGAGATTGTGAAAGATTCTGATGTTTATTAATAACAAGGTATGTGGACTATATTATAAAAATGTACTAACATTAAAGATTCTTTAAGTTATATGACTTACTTGATTGCGTTTAAATTTAAATCAAATATTTATAGTTGCAAGATATTTAATAAAGTTAATATTCACTTTAGAAAAAATAATATTCTCTTAACAAAACAGTCGAAGCTATGTTATTTATTTTGCATTGCAAATAGTTTTTTCCATAAGTCCTTTTAAACTGTAATTTTCCAAAGAAAAGCGTCCCAATTTGACTGCTTTTTCCGGGATGGTATGGCTCACTTTCGCGCTCACTTTTTCCCGCTTGGCAATCGTCGCAAATAGGTCAGTTCGGATGGGGGTTACTGAACTCTCTCGCCTGCTGCTGGCCAAATGTATTTATGGAAAATTTGTCACATAACTTCGTGGGGCAGAAATGACGCCAGCGATTGCGAATTTAGCGAAGACAGAATTTGCCTAAAGTCTGCGGTAATGCAACACTTCAATGCCATATAGCTCCCAAGTGGAATAGTTATAAAAGCAAAACCGAAAACTTGAACAAGAAACTGACAACTGGAAAACCACAAGACCACATCAAGCCAAAAGCTTGCTCTAAAAAGACAACTCAACGCCGCAATAACCGAAAACTTAATAATAACTCATAAACGTGATAGAAACAACATACACTTTTGATTATGCTAATTTTTGTCAAGTAAAGAATAAAAAGCATTATTATGTTTGGCTAAAGTCAGAACTGTTTTTTTGTAGCTTACAACTAAGAAATAAGATTTTCCTCATGTGTTCCCAAAGTCTTTCAAGTTTCGTTTGGAAAATCGAAGTCATAATCGATGTGGCATAAAATTAACATTTACTACTTCTCTTCCATTTTATTTTGTGTTGTTTTCTGACTCTTTATATCCATCGCTTGGTTGGGTTTTCGATCCCCTTCTTCAAAAACAAATTCAAAACGAAGCGAGCCCAATCCAACAGAACTTGCCACTTCAGCGGGGGTCCGGCATAAATAGTTGAAGAGTTGTGTTGTTCAATAAAGCTGCTTAGCCACTCCAATCTTTCCCCTTCGTTTTCTGTCCGATGTTTGCCCCTTTTCCACCCAATAATTTATAACAATGCGAAAGATCATCCATAGCCAGATTCTTCACTTCATTCTGTTTGCTCCCCTTGGCTCGAAAACTCGTTTCTGTTAATTGTTGCGTTAATTTGCAGTCTCAAAACAGAAAAAAAAAGTAACAAGAAGTACATTCTCCCTCCTTGTCTCGCCCTGCACACCTCTCACTCGCTCTTGCCACACTTAATATGCTCTAATTGTGCTGAAAATATGATCTTGGGTTGATTTCAAAGTTGGTTAGGCGGGCAAACACAAAAAACAATAAATTAATAATAATAAATTAAAAACGGTCATAAAACCAAGGCGTTTGTATAATAAACCAGCCCTATTTAATTTACGATATCTTGTAAAATATGAAGAGATCTAAAGCAAAATAAATTGATTTGGTTGACTCACATTGTGCTTGAAATTTTTTATTTAGCAAATATATAGGTACTGTTTTTATGATATAACCAATCAAGATCACATGCTCCAATATAAATACTTTCTTACCATCTATGGCACCTTTTAAATTTCGGCCAGAAATTGACAGAAACCGCAGACTGTATTCCATCTATAATACATGAACTGATCGAACTACCCACTACCTGGGACCAGTTAGTCATAGTTTAGCTGGCCGTTAGTCATTCATCCAAACCGCACATTAAGATTGAAGCGGTCTGGGAACAAAGGAAAATCTCAAGATCCCGTCTTGGGGGCATGATCCATAGACGTTCTCTGCTCGAATAGCCGATGAGCCGTTAAATAGAATATCGTAAACCTCGAACCCGAATGATCGGCAATGAAACGAGTACGGACAAGCTGTGGAAATCGGTTTCGCCCCTCTTGGTCATCGTAATCGTCATAGTCTTTCCAATCCCAAACCCCTCGATTTTGATCAACTCGAGTGTAAGTCAATGGGGCATGAACATGAGTAGCGGAAATCGAGCCAACACAAAATTGTATTGTTTGTATGGCTCGTAAGATGGGTTCCTTCTACCCAAGGAACCTGTTGTCAAATTAAAGACACTGGGCGCCAAACTCAGCGGATGTTTGTGGGATTGTTGGTTCATTATTAAGTGGTTTTTTGAATGGGCCATAAAGCAAAACATCCTGCTGTGATCATTATTAAAAGTTTTATGTTTCATATATCACCATGTCTCATCACTTCAAGCAAAATGAAATTATCTATTATACTCTTCAATTGTATAAACACTATATAAGTGTGTCATTGTACCACTAAAAACAGCTGATAGAATTTATCGTGCAGTTATAAATCGTCTTACAAAGCGGATCTCTTTTTTAATTAAGTTTTTTTTAGCAATAGCAAAAAAATCTTAAACAAGTAAATACGAGTACATGCCTATAAAATATTTTTTATTTTTATCTTCAATAAATTGGTTTCAATAATTGGTTCGCTTAAAGATAAACAATGTGTAACATGGGGAACTTAAATTTATGAATAATGCCCACCTTTTTGAACTTCGACTAACCACTCAAATTCCCGATGAACAATTATTTTTGCATACGCATACAAGATGTCGGTAAACGAGGAAAAAGCAACAGATACATTGGCTTTTAGTGGGGTAGTGAAAATCAGAAAA